CACCTGTGGCGTAATATGAGAGTTTGTATGGGAAAAATAGAGTTTGAAACTTAGATGAAATAAATGAAGTAAAAGCGATCAAAGTTATCAATAAAGTGTAATTATTGTTACATGGAGTCGTTGTCTTTGTTTTTACGAAGTTTCAGCGCGATTTGAGTACTTTTACATCATTTGACCTGACAGTGTAATAATAAGAGCACTGTCAGGTCAAATGATGTAAAAAAAGTTTTCATCCCTATAATATTCGGATCACTAGACTTTCAGCTAGGAAATCCGAACAAATGAAAAATTTTTAAGGGAAAAAATATGCCTATATCTACCGTTTAAATACTAAAATACGTTTAAATGTTTAAGTGGTTTTGAACTATATTCTCGTTGGGTGCCCTGAAATAGAAAATCAAGTCTTTCACTTCATGCCAGTATGTTAACGGCAGCAGATTGAGGCGAGAAAGGCGCTCATGATCAGAAATAATATCCTCTTGCCAGTGCGTGTTTAATATGAATTTTGTTGCCCTGCGTTGAAAACTCTCTATTTTTTTGTTATACTGCCGATCGTACTGGGAGCCCATACCTCGCTAGCATAGCCAGTATATGATCTTACAAACGTGAGATATAGTAATTTCCTGTGGTAACTAGTGTCATGAACTAGTCTCATCTCATATCTCATCACTGGAGCAATATTATGTAGGTCTAAATTTAATATGAGTCATGCGCTCCCATTCACGTTCCTCGTCAGTATACTCAGTGAGCAGAGTTATGTTACCGGCATGGCTTTTGGTAGACTCGATTGCCAGCCGCTGTTAGGGAAATGAGCCCGCGCTCCTCCCCCGCAAAGACTTCGAGCTGGACGCCATCTTGTAACCGGAGTCTTCTGGCTGACTCTGTCCATTTCCTTTCAGTGGTTTAACACAGGTGAACTTAAGAAATTTTACAGTTTTCTTGCATTCCTGGCGACATTGATAGTATCGCAGAATATTGTGGTGAAATATTGATGAGATAAGGGCACTAGCTAATCAAAGCAGAATGAACTAATCGAAGAATAGCAACGCAAAAGTCTTGTAAGTCCTTTAAATGAAATGAGGCACAGAAATTTCGTTCGACTGCTGAAGAAGCTTAATTTAAAGTAAAGGATCAACGAAGACGTTCTTTCTGCATTGGTTTATTTGGTTATCCCGAACTCGTAAGACAATGCATGATCCTTTATTATCATATGGCTACAATATTACGCGCGCTCTGATTGGCTGTTTTTTTGTAATGACCGAGCATTGCTAGCTAGGTGTTTAATAGTGGACATCCTTATGGACATTCATGTTATGGTCGATTGACAGCTGTCAAAAAGGGTATCCGCTGAACAGTGTCACATGACTGTATCGCGAGCTCAAGTGTACAACTCATTGAGGTGACGTATTTGTTAAAGTTATCCGCTGACCACCTGTTAGTTTTAATTGATCGCAGGCTCAGGTCCATAATGGAAAGGACATATGATAACTTATCTACCTCGTCCGTTCGATCACTACAGGGAAATCTGAGACCTCGGCCTTGATGTATTGACCTCGCTAAATGCATCATGCAAGGCCTTAGTCTCAGATTTCCCTTTAATGATAGTTAAATGAGTGGTATACATAAAGGTTTCTAAGACTGATTGCAATTTTTCTGAAAACAAAAGGACTATAACTGTTAAAAATAAAAACTACGAGATATGTCGAACGATACAGTTTTCTTTATACAAACTTAGGGCGCTTTCCACTTAGGAAAAAAAACCCGAAAATTTCGGTGGGAGCAAAAGTGGAATTTCCCATTGGTAAAAAGTTGTTCCTTTTGGTCGTAAACCCCGGTACGTCGCGGTGCCCGTTTGTTTCCTCCGAACATTTCTTTCTGATCTGCTCAAGAGGTGATCAAGTTCCTGACATCATAGCCTGCGTAGCAAGCGTTTCCGTGCTGTTTCGAGAGTCAAAGACCGCGCAACATTCTCGCGCGGCCAAAACCGAGAATCCCGTTCCTCGGTCTGTCTTTGCTCCGAAACAGCACGGAAACGCTTGCTACGCAGGCTACTGACATCACGATCTTACCAGTTTGTTAGTTTGTTAGATGTCATAGTTTCAGAATAAGGTGAAGGTGACCGACTGAAATCTAAAGAAAAAGCGTCTGAAGAGAGCAAATGGCGGGAAAAGCGTGTCAGCAGAAAAATTGCAGTGAATATGAACCTCTGAATAAATATTGCTATTACTCATTACTAGATACTCACCAATTAATCCAAGGACAGGGCACTCGTAGTGCAAAAGTGCCTCCATTGTGGGGCCAACAAAAAAACAAACCGTGCATTGATACATGAGCTCGAGTAATCTTCGTTTCGCCTTGCCCGCCGGAATGTTATTACGAAGCGAACCGAAAATTGAGCAAGATCTCAGGATAGAGCTCGAGGGAAGCCATTTTGATTTGCTAACTGGCCGTGACAGATTTTCTTGCCGTGGACCTGGAACTGGTACAAACTACGAGAAACGTGTAAATGGGACACGAAATTCCGTTCGGAAATTCCAACCGGGAAAACGGGCCCACCTTTTTAGATTTTCCACTTTTTCTGGGAATTTTCCAGTGGAACGAACCGACGAAACGTGTTCCGTTTACCGTCGAACCGGAAATTCCGGAAATTTTGGGCTAAATGGAAAGCGCCCATAAGCCTAGCAGTTAAAACCGGGTTTGAAAATTTAATATGGCTTAGGTTTCGAATCCCCGAAGCACACTGAGCTACGCCGAAATTCAAATTTCAAAAGGTTATATATTTTGGATGGATTCGTTCTGATACCGTCAACAATGTGGATCACATTTGTCTGGGACTAGCGAACTAGTTTTCCGTATTTTGTTAAATCCTGCAGAATTTTCTCGAAGAGAAGATCTGAAAAATTGAAAACATCACATTTTAGAAAATGACAAGTTCTACACTGGAACAAAAAGTTAGTGTAATTTATTTGAAACCCCAAAAGTCATTGCTATTTAGTGTGGCTAAAAATAATTCGAGAAGGATCACCTAGAGAATAGCTCTCTCAACTTTATCTTCTGTTGAATCAGTTTACACATTACAATCTAGCCTGCGTGGCAGGCGTTGAAAAGGGAAGGGGAAGGGAATTAAGGCGCGAGACCACACGCGAGGTAGGAGGGAGGAGGGGAACTTCCTTTCCTTTCTCCCTCGTGCGCCCCACGCGTTCTCGCGCGCCCAAATTCCCCCTTCCCCTTCCCCTTTTAACTCCTGCCACGCAGGCTGATTACCATCACAGTACATAAACAATTGAAGAAAAGATAACAGTAACATTTATTGGTCTGTCAATAGCGCTGGGCGCTGGGCGCAGTTGCTATTTATAGACACGCAAGTCAGACAAACAAATTGAATTTAACATTAGCGAATTCCTCACTTTTGTCTGACTTTTGTCTTTAAAATGTCATGTAAAACTTTCTTTTGTCGTTAAAATGAGAAAAATGATAAAACTCAGACAAAAATTGAGAATTAGTCACTCTGACGTCATTCGCGCGCAACGCTATTGAGAGATTCCCCGCCGGTGGTTACGTATGGTTTACTCACCTAGTTAGTTTCCCCTCTTTTTTGATTGGCAGTACAGTTTTGTTTTCCTTTACCTGGTATTATAATTCTGAGCATAATTATTATTGTGCGTCTAAAAGAAGCATTTATATTATGCGCGCGCTTACTTAGTTCACGGCTTCTTGACAAAATTGAGTTTTTGCATTTCAATGGCAATTGATTTAAGCTTTGACTATAATTATGTTTTCACTTTATGATTAATTTGATTTTTTTATTGTTCACTGAACTGAGCTCGAAATAAATCCTTTCTATTTGATTCAATTTGATTTCTACCAAAATTTCGCGATTCGTCCTTTAATTTAAGACGTTTCGATCGATTTTTTTAATTGTCTGTGTTGTTACGATCTAAACTTTACATTTTGATCAATGTGTTTTTGTTTAATTTAGTACTTTTGCGACCTTGCTTGCTCAAAACACCAGTTTCCACAAGCTACGCTTATATTTTAATGATTGATTATCTTTTACGTAGGCTTGTTGATAGTCAGTATGATAGTCAGATTTTGAGCATGATCCTTATTAAATATATTGCTTCTTCGATCCGGTCAGGAAATTTGGCTTTACCGTTTGGCCGACAAAAGACATATGGGGTTTTCTCACGTTGATCGTAACAGACTGGCAGACAGAAAAAAACACAACCTCGTTCCCAGGTTCTCTCTCTTACTCGTCTCGATCTCTCTTCGCTCCGTAGGGACGGGTAGGAATGAACCCTGGGAACGGGGTTGAAAAAAAAATGCTAATGCTGGATTATTACTGTGGCTCCGACGTTATTGACCACCACGAATAGAGACATACGATCATACAAATCATAGTTGGTTTATAAACTGCCCACGTGGAGACACCGGAGGATAAAAAACCAGTAACACGGAAAATAATTTCTTTTCCTTTTTTCCTGTTTGAGCTGATATATTCACGCGCCCCAAATTCCCTATTTGACCACTCCAGAAAATATCAGAACATACCATAACGCTCTTGTTTATCACCTAAAAATTTTGCATAAGCATTGTTTTCAGTTTCTCTTGGGAGTAAAATGCCCCTAAGAGAAACTGATCTGAGAACAATAAGAGAACAATGCTTTTGCAAAATTTTGGGTTAAAAAACAAAGAGCATTATGGTATGTTCTGGTATTTTCTGGAGTGAGTCAATTACGCACCCGCTCTGACTATATTTAACGTGCATGACCACGCAGTATAAATAAAACCTTTAATCCGAAAGTACGTGATTGAACGTGACGCGTCAACATTTTTGCTTGCATCGTAAATCACAGTCTATTAGTTTTCATTATGGATTTTTCCCATCTGTACACAGATTTTCTGCAGCGCAAACGATAATCGACATATTTACAGAGCTTTACGTGCTAAGATTTAAACTCTCTTTTACAGAAGATTTGGATCACAAAACGTAGAGCAGCATGACCAACCAGTTCTGCTTTCACAAATTGGATCACCTGAGGAAACTCGTTGAACTGCAAAGAATTTTTATGTACATCTTGTGTGTTTTATATTTGCTGTTTTCGATCGTGGCGTCCATTGGAAATCTTACTGTTATTTACGCTCTGTGGAAAGCCTCCTCAATGCCTAGTACCGTAAAAAAATTGTTCCTGAGTCTCGCTTTTTCTGATCTTGCTGTTGGAATACTGTCCCAACCGATGTTTGGCGTTATAATCGCAGTGATGTTGAGTATAGCGTATGCGGATCGCTATATCAGTTATACATCTTTCTGCCCAACAATTTTGAGCGTATTTTATTTTTTCAATTTTCTTCTTTCATGTGCATCGTTTATGAACGTTACAGCCATTGCAGTTGATCGACTCTTAGCTATTTCACTTCACCTTCGATATCACGAATTCATCACGTCCAAACGTGTTATTTCAGCATTGGTGTGTTTATGGATAGTAAGCTTTATCGTTGCGACATTGTTCATTGTACTGCCAAATGGCAATGACATGGTGGCTGCTATAACTGTATGTCTTGGACTTTTTTTGGCAAGTGTGGCATATATTCGTATTTACAAAGTTGTCAAGTATCATCAGAATCGAATACAAGGCCAAACACAGCAGCAAAATCTTCAAGAAATGGAACAACTCCGACAAAAGAAGTCTGCCTATAATGCTTTCTTCGTCTTCTTGGTTTTCGTAGCCTGTTATTTTCCACTATTTATTTTTGTAATATTAGATTCGGTAAGCAGTTCACAAATTTCATTGGCAGGGAAGCATGCCTCTATTTTCTTGGTTCTTTTAAATTCCTCATTGAACCCTGTCGTGTACTGCTGGCGATATCGAGAAATTCGTGAAATTGTGAAAAGAACATTCAAGGAGGTATTTTGCATAAAATTAACTGGGTTATCATCTAATGGAAAGAGAATATTTGTACGCTCGATTGTTCCTAGACAATAAGGATAAATATTTTGTCAGAGTAACATTTTGCACTCGACATATTGTTTGTGTTCTACAGGTGACACGCGCCAAGACACGTACTCTTCTAGACAGATTTATAATACGTGACAGGAAAATAGAGTGTACTAACCCAAGAATGTAGTGTATTTTAAAAACAAATTTTTTCCGTGTTTCGGTAGTTATAACACGTACGTACTTTGAAAAAAGAGTTAAGCAGTGTAATTATAGTTTTATTTACAACGTGCGTTTAGGTCGATAGGTTAGATTTCCGGCTGTCGCTCTATTATTGTTTAGTAACTTAACAGGCAGAATGTACAATATCTCTTGCCAGCCTTTTTAAAAGATAACTGAAAATGTTGTATAAGGAAAAATATATAAGTAATCACACAATTAATTAATAATTCATCAGTAAATCTGAAATATAGCCACCAGTTCAGTTATTACGATATTTCAATGTCTGAGAAGATCAAGACACTGAAAATAATTACCGTATTTATTCGAATAAGCGCCCAACTTCGAATTAGCGCCCACCTCGAATAAGCGCCCATCCTAAAGGCAGAAAAAGTTAATAAGCGCCCAGCCTCGAATAAGCGCCCACCCCTTCCTCCCACTCCCACTCAAACTCAAATTAGCGACCACCCCTAAAATTGAATAAGTACTAATAAGAGACTTCCCCGAAGACAGAGTTTTCTTCGAAGTATTTTACAGGAACCTTGCTTTGTTACATCTTCGCGTTTTGTTATTACCATTTATTGTTTTGTTGCAAAATACACATACTACACTTGCCGAAAATGTTGAGAATTTAATAAGCGCCCAGCCTCGAATAAGCGCCCACCTCGAATAAGCGCCCACTCTCAAGGTCCAAAAATTTAATAAGCGCCCAGGGCGGTTAATCGAATAAATACGGTATCTAACTTTTTTAATGGCACAATTTTCCAAGTCTCTGTCGTGCGGGTTTCCAAGAAACGTCGCCAGAAATGGATCTTTAAAACTTTAAATATTAATGTAAAAAGAGTCTATTTGTAAACTTTCCTTTATTTAAGCTTAAAGCTAGAACAGCCAAAAGTTACAGACTACAGTATAATAGATTGTACGCAACACGTGTAAGGAACGCGTAAACAGAAATAAAGGGCAGTAACGTACTGATCATGACAGTCTAATAGTGCTTTCTCATTAGGGACGGACCATTTGAAAAGCTATGGAGGGGCTGGGGAATTTTCGAGCTGCATGAATATTTTTTCGTGGATATTTCTCTTGCATGAATTCTTTTAGGGCTACTGCAGGAACGTTTTTTAGGGCTACTGGGCGTGCATTGTTTTTTTTTTTTTTCAAACGGTTTTCCCTTGCACGGATATATTTTTTTGTACTTTACATTCTTATAAAAAAAAAAAAAGAGTGTAGTTGGATATAGGCCGCGTTTGTTTTGTTTGTTTTTATGGATCTCGACTTTTCTCGATCCGCCACAATCGAAATAACTGAACTTAGCCAATATCCATATCACAGCTTGATCTCAGTCCTGGCCGCAATATTCTTTATATTTTACTTTCCATAAGAGGTGGGATGAAGTCGTGGTTAAGTTAGGTGAGGCCAAATTGTGCAGATCAGGGAGGGTGTTTCGCAGTTAACTTTAACAATACTTTTTGCTATAGAGCTGGAAATTTTTTCCCAACAGCGCGCGCTCTCATTGGTTACGTCGAGGACACACGACACCTAACAATGTAACTGTTTCCCGCCAAAATCTCTGAGTCGGCGACATTGTAAAATCTATGACGTGCGAGGGTAACAGTGTACCGTTACCCGCGAATGTTGACCGCTCGCGAGATTTATTTCCATAAATTTGTAAACGAAAACGTTTTTTTCTTCGTGGGCTATATACAACAAATCACTTTTAAGACTGTTCCCTCGGGAAACAGTTAATTTTGCTTCCGTCGACTCCGCCTCGGCAAACATTCAGATTCTCGGGAAACAAAATTAAGACAGAGTCCATCAGAAGATTGAGTAATTTCAATTTTCAGTGGACAAAAACCTTGTACCAGAAAAATTTCAACAATATCGCATTCTTTTTTACATTTTTCAAGGGCTATAGATGTAGGTAGTTATCTGTAATAACACCAAAGAAAATTTCTTTTGAGAGCCAGAGAAAATAAATGTCACATTTCACAAAACGACATATTACACATGAAATTTTCAGATCTTTACCTGTGTTTACACAATTCTTGTGAAATTTGACGTTTATTTTCTCGGGCCCCCATGAGAAACAGTCTATGGTGTTATTATAGATAACTAATTATATCTATAGCCCTTGAAAAATGTTAAAGAAAAAAGAATGCAATATTGTTTAAATTATTCTGGTACAAGGTTTTTGTCCACTGAAAATTAAAATTTCTCGATTTCCTGATGACTTCCGTCTTAACTATTATCCACAGTTTCGGGTCGTTACGAGTGTTTCTAAAAATACGAGCTTTTTGTGGCTGGGTTCAAGTTAGTGTGTCAGTCTTCCCATCATCGTCAGTATAGTTCGATAGTTGCGTCTTCTCTACGGCGGGTTTGAAATCTTGCCCTCACCTCTGCACTGCCACAGAACACAAGAACAGAAAGCAATGTAGCAAACCTATATAAAAACTGAACCTTACATCTAAAATACGAAAGGCCTCTAGCCATACAATCCATACTGGTGAACCATGTTTCATTCCGAGAAAGTGAAGAGGAAAGCAGTCATAAATAAAATAGTTTATTAAACTCTTGATGTCTACATTTCCCCCAACATTACTGACAGAAGAGGAATATTATACACGTGAAAATTCCTGTGCAATAGTTCCATTAAAACATTCTTTACCTTCTGTACATATTTATAATAGTCACAATTAAAAATCTGTACATTTTCTTATTCGGGAAGACCGCGTGAAACGTTTGACTGCTGAAATTTATCACATAGCCGTTCCACTATTCCTTTTGAGTTCTCAAACTATTCCAGTGAAAGCTATAGTGTCACAGTTTAAGATGATCTACAAGCCGTTTCTAACTCTCTGGACGGAAAGATTTTCCAATATTACAATCTCTGACTACAGCTAAAATACCAAGGGTGTTCTATCTCGGCCTACAGTTCACACACAACTCGATACAGGTAGTAATAAAACGGCAAACAAGTACAGCTGAACCCAAATATATCCCCTGTACTTACCGCGGTTGTGACACGTTACTGAATCTTCCCTAATTTTCGATAACACGAGCGGAAGTTTAATTACTAACCCTGTTACTAATTATACCTGCCAAAGTGGATATAAATAATGAGCTAACATGGCTACTTATAGTACACTATTTGATTTTGCAGTCGAGATTCTTCATACAAACACCTTTTTGCACTGAAGTAGGTGTGCAACATGCACTTGTACGACTTTCAAGCCCGGTGCGCGTGCCTTATCGGTAGAATTGTTTAGTACGGCACGCCCATACCATTCAAGTTTGTCACGGGAGCAATTTCAAACCGTAAAGCACGGTGGCGCTGCAGCGGTTACATGATTCCAGTACATGTTTTCGCCTTTGATCGAAATTCTCGACCACTAAGTACAACTGCCGGAATGATACACACTAGTAAGACTACAGACTCCTCCAGAACACAGCGACTGGACACCTTCTTTAGTATCGGCATAACAAGTGCTCGACTGCAAATAACTACGTCCTAAGGCAAAGCTCTGTCTAAGGCAGAAGTAAAAAACTACTACTAATAACATGTGCATCTTAACATCTTAACGCAAGACATAAACTCAGTCCTACTGTAACAATGGGACAAAAAACTGTCTCTGTTGGGAGGATTATTCCACCTTTGAGGTGAAAAAATTGTTTTCAAATTTTTCGTTATATTTTTCATTCGTTAATTCTTCTTTCCTTCAAAGACACTGGACAGACAATTTCGCCCAAAACAGAGGTAGAAATTGTTCAGAATCTCTGAGTATACTGCTTTTAAGACAGTTCCCTCGCATGAAAGACGTGTTCGTCTCGGCACTGTATAGTGTGGCTCCACTAAACTTCACATGAAATCTTAAAAGAATAGCTTAACGCAACAGGAGATAGTCTCGTCTATGCGCGTTTTACTGCGCCCATAGTAGTACTGAGCGGAGTTAAAACCCCTACGTGAACATGGCTATAAAAGCCGTCGGTGGACGTCTCCAAAAGGCAGTACAATCCTGTGCTGCTGTTATGGTAGTATTTTAATCCTCTAAAAATTTTACTCTTATACGTAGTTAGGTCTTGCCATTAGGGAGTTGCTCGCCACTTGTCGGCAGCCTCTCTTCGTGCATCAGGAAGGATTTGATTACGGACCCCTCCCAAGACATTTGAAGTGGCTTCTGTAGCCAGAATAAGGGGCTGGACCACAGTGGCCGGTACCTGGCGAAGGACTCCTCCAACAGCCCCTGTTACACCTTTCTGTTCGTGTTCTTCCTTGGCCACTTGCACGATATTTGTGGCTGTTTGGCCGAGTCCCTAGAGATCGAGAGACAAGAGAAAAGTCAAAGAACAGATGACGCGAAATAGCGAAATACTTCTAAAGAGCCTTTCTTGATGACTGATAATATTTGAATTCACTTGCGCTTTCAGTCCTAGACGTAAAGCTCTTATCCCGGAGCCAATTAAATAAAACTTTGACAGGTGCAGGTTACAAGTGTGGCTATATTTTTAGGGTATAAAAACAAAAGCTACACTCGTAAATTGCACTTGTAATAGTTTTACTACATTTATTATATATTTTTTTTTTAACTTCGCCAAACTATAAGATAAGTGACAGTACAAAAAAAAGGAAAAAAAAGGTCACAAAACGTCTAACAGTAAATCTGTATCCCGCCAAGAGGGTACAATACAACTGTACACGTAGAAGGTTTTCTTCGTGGACTATGTAACAAATCATTTAATGACTGTTCCCTCGGGTCGCAGTTTTGCTAAACTGCAAAACAGTACGTTTTTTTCTCAAAATCAGTAAAGAAATCGGTAAAGCATGCCGTAAGAGTCTTACGCGCGCGAAGCGCGCGAGCCTCACACGCCCTGCGAGAGAAAACAACCGTATTTTTAGCGTCTCTCCCCAGGTCCCGCTCTATGTTTTCAACCACGTTCCAGACCTTTTGTTTGACTGCTCGCGCGTACTTGAAAACGAAAAAATAAGGACTGTTTTGCAGTCTACAGTTTTGCAAACATCGAGATTCTCGAGATTCTTGGGATACAAAACTTCTTTTCCAAACTTGGTCCCTCCAAATAGCGGGAAATTACATTCCAGAAACTCATAGGCGCCACAAGCTCACGTTACGAGGGTTGACGCGAGCGAGACGGTATCGCGTTGCAAGCGATCGTAGAGACGTTGTATATGAAATAAAATACTGAGGTCTGCGAACGATAACTATCGTTATATTTTACCTTTTTATCAATTAACTAAATAAAGACGATTTATATGATGTATTTCTGTGGGTTTTGGTGTGGACGCAATAGAGCCAAAAAGAAGACTAAATCAATGAATTCACACCGAAACACAAACAAATACATCAAATATAAATCGACTTTATCTAGTCTATTGATCAAAGGGTAAAGTATCAAGATATTTATTATCGCAGACCTCAGTATTATAATTCTCATACGTCTTAACGATCGCTTGTAACGCAATTCGTAAGGTGAGCTTGGGACGCCTATGAGAAACCTTGTGAAATCGTGAAAACTAACTCTCACAAAACTCGTAGCCACAAAAGTAAATACAAAATAAGAAAACAGCAGTAAACCGACACGCCGCTCACCTCTTTGAAGACTTGATAAGCATTCGTAAACCCTTCCCGCAAATCAGCGGGTTGTTGAGCCAACCGATTCTGGCCACGCTTTGCTGGGGAGGCTGGACTCACTACGTCATAAGCTGTCTCGGCCGCCGCCTGCAAACAAAACAGAAATATTTCAGGCTGATCAAGACTGTCGTTTATATTTTTAAATTGTACATTGGGTAATCAACACTCTGCATTGGTGTAAAACAAACGCCCAATCATCGACAGTCACGCAGTGCTGAGGTTCCTGATGGTCATAAAAACGCTCAGGTGGAAGTTAATCTAGAAGACTGTTGGTCACACAACGGTAGTAGGACCCAAACTAAACTCAAAAAATCGTACTACTTATCACTGACAAATGTACGTGCAATGTCTAAAAATGATGAGTTTCATTCTTTCTGCGGTTAGTTGATGACAAAAAGGTAAGAAAATTTTAGGGGCTATAACGTTAACAACGAGACTTTTTGAGGATCATTTTTTAGTGGTGTCTTGATGTTGAGGATGGGTGCAATCAGCAAATGACGAAATACAAATGACTAAAAAGACAATGAACAAAACCCACACCACAAAACAACAGCTAACCAACAATGGTTTTCACAACACCAAGAAACACCCTTCGTTGGTTAGCCTGTCCATAGACGTTTTTCGTTTGTCAAAGAATCCCTCACGGTTTTTATTTCCATATGCGCGCTAGACGATCTCTTAAGATAAAACAGACGGTCTGTGAACAGGCTATTTGCTGGTGCGGTAGGGTATTTTTTCGGCATCTCTCTCCTTACCTGGATCATCTGCACAACTCGGTTTGTAAGTTCAAGGAAAGCCATAGCAGACGAGGTGGTAAAGGAATTGGCCCCTCTCTGAAGTCCCCTCATGACACGCCCATCTCGGCGGTACTGATCAATAGGTAACCACACCAGGTCAACCAATCCCTGGAACAGCTGTAGAAACGAGTGAACAGGGCCAACCCCGCCCAGTATCCGGGGCAACTGAGTGCCTCTTATATCTGTCATCCACTCGGATAAGGCGTAATTCATGACTCTGTCTATACCCAGCAAGCCACTACGGCAGCATAAGCGTTTCAGACGTAGCTCGGAACAATTAAGCTGGCCAAGGCCTATCAATAAGCCAGCTAGAGTTCCCTGTGTGAAACATAGTATAGCCTGTGTTAAAGGGTGAAGTATACCACATGGGCTCTTTATTTCTGCATGAGAAAGCTAAGAACCGAAAACTCGGGCAACGATCACTCGCTGATACAGATTAAAAAGTAACTTGTACAGAGAGGACATTTCAATAGGAATTTTCTGTAAATCCCAGTTTCTAAGAAATTACCTGGTACGTGACCGTTTAAAGATCGATATAATAATTGCCTCCTCTTTTCCACTCCACATCAAATAAACATTTGTAAGAGAACCTCAGTTTCTCAGTGCAGCCAGCTTAATATCTTTATTCCAAAGACGTCTAGAACCCAGAGGGTGCTACACAAATCAAGTTTTAAAGCTGAAAACGTTCCTACCTGTTCCATATCAACTCTCTTGCCCTGATAGTCCAATCTGATGGGAACTTCTGGAGAAAATATAAACGACCTAAAGAATGTAGGGGTCGATTCAGGACTATCTGATTCGGAGCCAGTGGCTGAGTTCACCAGGGTTGCTTCCTCGGGAGAAGATTCTGTTAACCAATCAGATGACGGGGGTGGTCTGGTAGGACTAGAATCAACAGCAGCGGAACCTAAAAGAAAAAGTTATTTAGATAATTAACAATCATTCACCGAAGAGAAGGTGTCGTGAATAGTGGTGGATATCTTTCACTGACTCTGACTCTTGGGTGAATAATTGTTTTAGTATATGTTCCACACAAGGTGAACAAATAGAAGACCAAAAAATTACTTAATTTTCGTCAATCCAGATTCGGAAATTCTAAAATCTTGCGCAGCATGCAATGAATGCATATTAACGCTCGTAAAGTCAAATGGTAAGTCAGGTTAAACCCCACGAACAACCTCGAATGTTCGACGATCGTCAGTAATAAATTCCAATGTTTTCGGATCCGACACTCTGTAATCAACGAAAAAACGTCCAGTTCTATTCTTAAAAGGTTTTCGTTTCTACCCGGCTGCTCGGAGGTGAATAGCACTTAGCTTATATAATTCGCACCAAGCTGAAAGCGCGAAAAGCACTACATGTATTCACTTTTGTGGCGTATACTGACATGGAATAACCAAAGATAGGGCGCTTGCGATCTGAGTAACACTTTATTTCTGTGCATGATGTTGATCCGCGAGTGAGAACGTTTCAGATGTTAAAAGTACTGCCACGCATTGCATTCCAGTTTACCTTTTTTCGCTCTCACGTTAATTGTAACTTTTGAGTTTCTAGAAGAAATCGCAAGGTTGGCTATTCCAATAGAACTAGAAATGTTTCTTTACATTGTGGAAACTTCATGTATTTTTGGTTGGCTGTTACGTTGTGGTGATAGGGGTGTTGTCCAGTGTAGGTTTCAAGGATTACCTACAAAAAGCAACGTGCAAAGCTGGCAAGCTTAACAGGAAAAACAGGTAAAGCATGATCTACCTTTCGGATTTTTAGCAGCTTCTCCCATGACCTCGGTGAAAAAGTTCCTCAAGAAAAACAAAGCATCCTGCAATGGGAAATAAAACAGAAGTTGGTACTACAATTTTTTGACATAAGCCGAGGCCCAGAGGAAGGTAGCAGAGGAGCACCGGCATCTTTTCACTTGAATAACAAATCAATAATGACTGGATATCAAGTAAAACGTTAAGTGCAGTCTAGACTGCCAATCATTTTTTTAAAGGTGAAAGACTAATTACCTGGTCTACATTCAGTCTCAGCGGCTGAATAGACACTCTGAGGTTACACTCCTGCGCCTTGAGTCCAGCATCGGGGCGAATGTACAGCATCTTGAGCAAAATCTATCGAATAAATCATTAAACTTGGTTAAACAGAAGAACACAATATGGACAGGTGCAAAGCGCGCGTGCAAGCTCTCTCTTGGTTCGGCTGTTTTCGACTTTTGGTTTGCTCCACACAGGCCAATAGACACCACGTGACTACACTCGTGCGTCTTGACGTTTCAATTTGCGAATATTCTCACGGGTGGCCCAAGCTCCAAATATGACCATCAGCACTGAATTATAAGCACTTGTCACGGTATGGGGAAAAAACGATTGTTTCTGTAACATTCGAATAAGAAAGGAGTTAAGAGAAAATTAACTAACCTCACTTAAGTTGTGTGTTTCTTCTTTCCTGTTTAGTCCCGAGCCGATTTAAGGCCATTTTATGTGGAATCTTATTGGAACCGGTTTGTACTCTTTATAATCCTTTCTTTTAAACAGAACAAACCGGTTTTTTATTCAACGGAAATAAGCAAAAAAAGAGGGGAAAAAGGTTCTTCTGAAGGAAATGAAGATAAAAGCAAACGTCTGGTGGCCAATGTGCCTGGAAACACCAAACCATATATACAAAAATCATGTTCAAAATTTTTCGAATTGTGTCGAATTAGAGACACCTCTTCTCCCCATTGGGTACGGTCATAGGAGGCGATATCCTTGGCTCAAAATTGAGATTTTTGCAAAATTTTACAAGTTAATAATAATAACAATCTTTTAATAGGATGCTCCATCACAAGAGACTTGAAGAAAAGTAACTTGAAGAAACTCTTCAAGTTACCCTTGAAGAGCCAAAAACTGGTAAGGTCCCTTACCATGTTAGCATGGGACTGTTTGGGGCAGGCCTCAGATGTGTACTGGTAAAGGAACTTGTTTATCTGTGAATGAGCCAAGCGGTCCCTTATTTCTACATCTTGCACGAGCACCACCAGTCTGGAGGCTTGCTCTGTGTGCTCAGGGTACTCCTCGTACTGCAAACGAATCTGAAGGAAATACAATGTAAATATTAGAAAAGATTTAGAGTTGAGTTTATGGTAAAAGGAAAACGTCAATTCCTGGCACGTGATCAAGTTTTCCTTTTACTTATCGTTTACTGTTCATTATGTCTGCACAGAAATCAGTATATTTACGCCAGGGTCATGCATAAGAATTGTCTTAGTCTTTATCTGCTCATTTTCTACAATGAGAAATTTTATTAGCAACTAGAATCTGGCGTTTGCCTTTTGCCAGCAAACGTAATTCTAAATCTCTCTATTATATCTGACAAAGTTACCTACGCAGCAGTCATTGGGCGACAACAAACTCCCCTCTCCCCACCAAAAAAATTGTAAGGAATTAGGGAATTAACGGCCTTAAGAGGCCAACACAGCCAATAAGAACGAATCTTTGTTATTGGTTCACTGAGAAAAATTACGGTAGCAGGAAGATACAGGTAGGGTTATCTACGGTACTGTTGAACTACGTCAATGTGGGAGTTAAGTGTATATATTTTAACATTTTCTTCGGAGATTTACATTTGATTATATATTTGCGACAATTACCCACCAGCGCCAGGATGTCTTTAAAAACACAATGAAAATAATGACAGTGTCTTATTCCTTAAATGATTTTGAATTGCCCGAGACGATCATTTTGTTAACTTTTATTCCTAAACAAAGAAAAAAGGTGACATGAATAAAAACCAAAAGGTTTGTTACCGAAGACTGAAACCAGGCTTTTTCCTTGAAAGAAAATGACCTTCCCACATTAAATTTTTTGGAAAGCTCCTTCTTTCACTTGCTGCTAGGTATTTATATATAACGACGAACTGCGTCGTTCATGAACGTAATAAATTGAGCTTTAGTAACATTTTACACGTATTCTATTGCTGGCAAATGTCACATTTTGATTGGCTGAGGTTTTCGCTCCCCGTCGACTAATTACCAATCGAGAATCTTCCTCGCGCCTTCTAATCGCTAAATACAATTATGTAGTAGTACTTGACACGCACGCTTAACAATGTTGAAACACAGCTGCAAGAAAAAAATCGTAAAAGGCCGACAATTTATCAAGTCGCCTTAAATGTAGCCCGTCAACCAACAATATATGTAGAGTTTCGCGCAACTAAGAGGAAGAATGACCGTAAATTCTACTGAATATGAAAACTCCACTAATGAGCTGAACGAAACAAGACGACTCATGCCAACAGGAATCGTTATATTTCTTTCAGGTTTAGACATCTGCCTTTCCATTGCCGCATCTCTGGGTAATACATTGATCATAATAGCTCTTCAAAAGGTTTCTTCTATCCATCCACCGACCAAACTGCTTTTTCAAAACCAGGCGGTCATGGATCTTTGCGTTGGTCTAATTGTACAACCGCTCCACGCCTCAATACCAGTAATAATGGGTTCTACTGCAAGGGTAGATCCGCACACTGAATACTACGTGGTGACAGCGTATCAAGTTGTCAACTATATCGCTGGCGGAGCATCACTCGTTAGTCCGGCTGCGATAAGTATCGACAGACTTCTCGCTTTACGGTTGGGCCTAAGATACAGACACATTGTGACACTCAAGCGAGCTCGCGTAGTTGTATGTTGCACATGGCTTACAGGCCTTACAGGTGCACTCCTGTATTTAACTTTAGGAGAGAGAATCACTCTGCCTATGATTGTAGTCGTGTTAATAGTTTGCGGTAGTACCGCAAATTTCTGTTACACGAGAATATTTTACAGACTTCGGCGTCATCAAGCTCGAGTTCATGATCAGCAAGGACAGTCAAACGGAACAAGCATTCCACTGAACATCAAAAAATATAAAAACACAGTTTCTAGCATGGCGTGGGTACAATTTGTACTCGTTTTAACTCTTGTTCCTTTTATCATTGTTGTTGTAATAATACAAATCACTGGTGAGAATAAGGATTCTTTGCTTCTAATAACAGCAACTGTTACAGTTCTTTACTCCAATTCGTCTTTGAACCCATTTCTTTATTGCTGGAAAATCGGTGAAGTCAGAAAAGCAGTCAAAGACATAGTTAGAAACTTCTTTTGTAGGAGTTAAAGCGGAAAGTTACAAGTCACAGGTGTCCTACCGTACTTTTTTCTTTTCATTTTCGGGTGAAGGTAGTTTCAAACGGCATGCATGAAGACTCAATTTTTATTCAGTAAGAATATGACAAAAAACACCTGATGATTTCCATTAACAGCTAATATCTATTTAACAGAGTCAAAAGCTATTTAACTATTTTTCACATTTTGTATTTAATCATATCTAGCCGATTTTTTGAAAACCAAACTAACGAAATTTGCAGTCATTTGAGTACAAAAGGCGTCAAAAGGCAGGGGTTTTTTTGGGCCCGATAAGCTCCAAAATCACCGTAGCGAAGGAAAAGGAAAGGAGAAAAAGAAAGAGCGAGGAGGAAGAAGGGAGGAGAAGACAAAAAAGCAATGGTTGCACTCTTAGTTTTTCTAATGGCTACTTTGAAGGTTTTTTGACCGAAAATAAAAAACTGTTGAAAGGAAAAGGTCCATTTGGCGGTAACGTTTTCAAAAATCCGGCTAGATATACATATGTTATTTCATAGCTTTATCACTAAGGAGAGTCTAACACGTTGTGCGTTAGTATGATAGTTAATGCGAAACAAAAGAAAAGAGGTCAGAAAGAATGAAGATCTCGTTCAGAAAGTAATAGCTTGATTTTAAAAGATATCTATTAACCGATTGAAAAGGCTTAGCCTGTCATCTGTGTCTCGAGCTGTTCTTTTTTTTTCTTTTTCTTCTTTCCCGGTATAGTTACTAAAACAAACGTGACGTTGTCACAATCCAGCTGATAGGGACAAATAACGTTTCGGGTAATTTTATTTTCTAATTACTCATTTAAATTTTTTGTTCGTCAAAGGGTACTGTTTTTCAAACCGCTGTAATCGCTTCACTAGAACAGCAACAGCTAAATAAAGAGTGCTACTTGTTCAATCAACAAAGCCGTTGCCGATAACAATGTTTTCCGACTCGAGGGATACGAAAACCAAACGAACAGTTTTGTTGTTGATGGCCAGATTATAAGTGGTTAAATTGTACTTATATTGCCAACCAACTGGACGCCAAAGAACAGCAATTCAGCAATAAAAACAAATTCATTTGAGACTCGCTGCCTCAGGAAACTTTGAAATGCGCCATTGAAGACAGGACTTCCCCTAATTACCTTAAACTTAAGTTATTGGGCGGCTGCTTCACTATAATCTACAAATTCTGTGATATTTCCTTTATCTTGTCAAAAAGAAAGGTTGCTTGCAAGAGTGAATATGACCAATTTAGAAAAAGTCGACTCTCTCGGGTACCAAATGATGGGGCAACAAAGTATCTTCCTGATAACCAACTATATAATAACCAAGCAGGGCTGTCAAAGAAGCGGGGTCCGAGGATTTCTCCAGGCTACCGGCTACTATGAACGCGGCCCCCAGCTACTTTCAAAGGAAAATAGAAGAAAAATAGATCTAAAAGAAATCCCTAGCTGTTTGATTCTTCGCCTACTTATTGTACCGTAAAATTCCGAAAATAAGCCCCGGGCCTTATTTTTTTCAAAGACCCTTTTTGAGGGGCTTATTTTGGAGGGGCTTATCTACGGAGGGAAATTTGCGTTTCAAAATCGATTGGGCTAGCCTTATAGTTCGAAGTAAATTTACTGTTTTCGCTTTGTTTTACTTTGTGTTTGAGGGCAATTTTCCAAGTAGAAGCCCCGGGGGAGGCTTATATTTGGAGGGAAGATTTAACGGAGGGTTTTTTGCGTTACCGGTTTGGGGGGCTTACATTTAAAGGGGCTTATTTTCGGAATTTTACGGTTTACCAGGCAACTTGGCAACTTGGCATCTTGGTGACAGCCCTAACCGAGCAATGTCAGATGGAAATTTACCTTCTTTAAGGTTGGTGCAAACAGAAGCTCACTGACCTTGTTCAAATAAAACTCCATTAACACGTCATTATTTCTGTTGGGTCCTCCACTAGTGCGTGAGAATTTCTTCGCGCTATTAGCTGCGATATTATTAGGAAGCAATATACTGGGTCTGACTGCAGTAGCCGAACCATCTCTTGCCTGTCCTTTTTCATCCAGCGCAAAACTTATTCTGTGAATAGAAAATAGTCGAAGTAAAAAACCTGTGTCTTTTACCCAAGGTACTATATTAACTTAATCTACATCCCACTCAAGGGTCACCTTTTACAGCAAAATGCAAGATTACTCTTTTTTTAAGCATTTCGCGTGTCACTGATGAGGACTTAACCTACTTTTCATATTATTCTTGCATTACAAGCCTGAAGGCAGTCGTAAAAGTGCTCCTTGGGCCGGAAAACTGCTACTGAGAGGCTTGGCAATAATGATCATAAGTCTTTAGCGAACTTGAAGCAAGAGCAAGGATGTCTGTTTTACGTTAAAACGAAAAACCTTACAGCGAAGATTTCACATTAACGATCTTCTCCAATTTACCGGAACATGCCAGGACTACCATGTAACGTCTTCCAGTCCCTTCGCACTTTGTTATATCGGGATATAAAAGTATAACCAAACACGGGGTCAAGGTTTGGTGTTCTTAGGAAGGAAGCAGGTAGACATTGCCTTGCTTTGCCATAGAGCAAGTCATATGTAATTCAAAATCTGCAGAGGTTTTTAATTCTTTCACTCCGACTCCCTGAAAATATTTGGTTCTTCTTTGATTTAAACACTCTTTTAACAATGTTGTCTGGACCTCAGCATATTGAATCCCTAACTAAACCTAGTAACTACATTCCAGTTAATCCGCCCGACTCGCAGAGCAGTAAGGAAGGTAACCTAGTCTCAAGGGCTTTTCCTTTAGAAAATGGGAACGAGGTTGTGCGGGATGAGCACAGTCTAAAAAAACTGTCAGTAATCGTTAAAGTGTTCAAAGTTTTACGTCACTCACTTTTTTCTCTGGGTACGTGATGGAGTTCCACCAAAGTCTCTGCCGCCAAACAATCGCCACACCACTGACATCTCTTTTAAAGTGTAACAGAACACTGCTGGCGGGTAATGACTTGGGGCGCTCAGTTGATCACTTGGACCAATCTAAGTGGAACAAAGAATTACGTATCATGAAACCCTACAAGTATCGAGGCTGGCTGTGTGTTATCAACAATGAGATAAGGCTTTCTTCCTTCTGCAGTCCAGTCTAAAACTCAATCTTAAATGAGCAACGGTCTTGGTGTTAAAGCCATGATAATACCGCCGAATGACACTGGATCGCGCTTTTATATGATATAGTTTAACTTCCCTGCAACGGCCACCTTGGGGACAGAAGAAAGTGCCATTGTAAAGAGGTGACCGTTGTAGAGAGGTGACCTTTAGAGTAGGTAAAAAGGTAAAGGAACGTGGCCAATTCTCTTTCCAAATACTTCAGATTGTATTCCCTTGTTTTCCTCAGACATGGTAGAACCTACGAAAAACGCGAACACTAACACCCGCGTGTTACCCCCGCGCGCTCGGACTTTTCGCCTTGGCTCGCTCTACTAATTCCTACTCGTAGTACAAAAATTCTGCGGCGCTTTGAAAGGGTTCGAAGCGTTTCGAAATGCGAAATGTCGGAGGCGAAATTCCAAATGGAAGTCAAGATATCAAATGAAGACTGCGAGTGTGGATGGATACTTACTGGAACAGTGAAATGATTTTCCTTAATGCTGACTGCTTCGTCTGTCAAACACTTGATAATGACTTCATGACTCAAACCCTCGGGTTCTTTATCAGGATGTTCTAGAATACAAAAATCGTCATCGCTGTCGTCCTCCTCATCCTCTGGCTCTCCTGGAATTCCTAAACTCGCGTGCGAATTATCTTCAGCCGGGTAATAATCCTCTACTGCATCAGCTAGCAGCTCATCGTCTGGGAACAAGAAGAGATCTCTTCTAGGTGATCTGGATAGCTGGTGGCTTAATTCTCCTTTAAAACTCTGTAAATAAAAAACGTCGGCAGATGAAGCAGCTTTGTTTGGTTATCTGACGTAACGCCATACGGTCTGTATTAATAATAAACGTGTAACATGCAGCCATCACCGAGTTGTAGATGCACGCGGAAGCTGCAAAGCACAAAAGAAGCGCAAGAGTCACGCTTTGAACAACTTTAGCTTCTTGAGTACTTAGCAAACCTCCCAAGTGCGTCCAAAACTAGACAGTTCCACAGCTGCAGCGTTCACCAAGTCGTTTCTAACTAAATCCAATGAGACAAGGTTTAAAACTTGAGGTCGTAGGAGAGTGACGAGTGTGTGGTCATGTGCGCGTGCTAAGGCATCAGCACGTAAGAATCAATCTTTGCAAATAATCTCTTTTTTCCTGTGGTTCAACTCGCAATGTACTCAATACGTCACTATATTCTAGAGGGGAAGGAGCAAAGAGAGAGACGAACAAAAATACAGCTCCAATTGACGCCCCCTGAAACAGGCTACATTAATATTCATTTCTGAACACAGACTGATACAGTACCTTGTCATAAGAAGGTTCCTCAAGGGAGTGTGTGTCTACCATGGCCTCTGTCATGATACTACTCAGTGTTCCTTCATCAACAGACCCCTGCTTAACTGGCGGCTCAGCTGGGCAGCGGCTTGGAGTCTGAGAAAATGAGGAGAAAATGAAAGAGGTGTTAAGGACGTTAAAATTATTGTTTGCTTGCCTTCCGCTCATTGTTTTCATGCAGAAATTTGTCACCTCCTCTGGATCGGCCCTTTTATGGACGCAAAATAACCAAGAATCTACTAACGATTAGCCTGTACCAGGCTTTCAGATAGTGGAGTGCGGCGAGAAGTCAGAGAGCGCCGTCCCCACAATCTGAACGCCTGGAACAGGCTATTAAACGACTTTTGTTCACACTGGTAACCTGCCTTGCAAAGCCGGCTCTCCTTATTTTCCCACATAGTTTTCCCCCGTTTTAAGTTCATAACTTTAGTTTTTAACCTCCCCCACCCCAACATACCTCCAAAGTCCACCCTCACCTCCGATACTCCCTTCCAATGATAGTTTTCATGGTTTGTAGCAAAATAGTAAAGGGATTGTATACCGGCCTCAGGAGAGAAGATTTCCTGAGATCTTCTCTTCTTATGTTACAGTTACTTCTTGTACTTACGGATGGTGTTTTAGTCCTGTCAGGTTCTTCCTGCTCATAACTAGGTGCCAGGTCTCCATCTGCTGAAATGTACTGTATCAACTGAAGCAGAGCTGAGCACGAGTCTGAACACGTTCTGATGTTAACTGTATTGTTTGACATGCGTAGTTCCACCTGAGGGTGACCCTGATTGGTGAAAAGTTCGGATTCAGTCAATCAAAGATGTTACTTGTTACATTAAAAGATGAAGTAATCCTTCTCTTCTCCGCAGAGGCCGCGTTTGTGTTCCGGCTGCGAGAAGTTAAAGCGTTCGGGAGATGGGGAAGGAGAAGTAACAAAAGTGCGATCTCGCAGCGCACATAGGTGAGTCAGCACTGTTTGTGGCTATACATCTCATTGGTTGAGAAAATGACGCGCTATTCGTCAGTGAAATCACAAGACGTAGACATGCAAACAAAAAAACACTCGAAATTGCTTTCGACATTCAGTGGAAAACCGCTGTAACAATGGGAAACGTTCAGAAGATTACAAAGGGGTATCGGTGAATTTTTTTTTTTTTTTTTACCTTTTCACTGCCATCGCATGTCAGGAGAGACAATTCGAACATTCCAAGATCTAAAACACAGACATAATCTGAAAGGCCACAAGACTTCATCAATATCGACACAAATGGGGTAGGAGAAAAAAACAAAAACAAACAAACAAAAAAAACAATGATAACATGGATGCCGCTCTTCGGAATAAACAGAAGCACATAAAAAGGATCCTTACATAGCTATCGGTACGATGAATATGTGCCACTAATCATGTTTTCTTCCGTATTAATTTTCTCGTTGTATTTGTTGTAATTATTTGAAATACTCAGCAAAACGCCTGAACGGAAATAAAAGTCTTTGAAAACAACACCCAAATAGTGTAAGGGGGTGGCAATTAACATTCTAAACATAACTGACTCATCATAATCCGCTAATGTGCTTTGAAAAGGCTTTGGACTTTAAAAAGATGATTTACACCATCCTTAAACATCAACGTACGGTGGTCATCAATCAGTAGTTTTCTCTTGCAGATTTCCAATTGTCATAATAAAGTTATGATTTATGTTCATCAAGTTTCACCACGAAGCATAAACGTACTTTTAATATTGGCTGATCCACTACATTTATCAGAGAGGTACAATGCAGCGTCATCGATGATAAATCTGCCACAGGAAGAAATGCAAAAATAGCTCATGACTACTCCTTACAGAAACGTTAACTCATCGTAGGAGTCAGCTCTCTAGTTTCATGTATATAACAGACAGTCAATTAAGCAGCAACTGGTCATCATCCACAAGGACGATGTCCAAACTTCTTTCCCGGGGGGTGGGGGGGGGGGGTACTCGACCAACATTTCGGAGGAGGAAAACCGCTGAAGGTTTGAAACCTTGACCATGTTTAGGACAAAAATATTCTGAAAATACCTACCCTGTTTAGGACAAAACCCTCAATTTTATAACCCTGCTTTGGACAAAGAACACGTACACCGTTTAGGACAGACTGGCGCGAAATTGCGCACCCCATTTGGGGTAGAGAGGTTAAAAATACCATACCCTGTACACATCCCCTTATAAGTCATAAAAGGGAGTACCCTCCCCCCCGGGGGTCTTTCAGTGCTAACAAGCTTTCAGTATCCTTTTTGCAACAGGTCTCTAGTATCATCAGCCACATCTGATGGATCTTCAAGTACCAATAAATCAACTGATCCACCCGGGCTTTGCAATTTTTAATATTAGCGTCAGACGAAATTCATTGCTATTTTGTTATTTGACAAGTAAAGTTAAAGTTAAAGTTGGCTCCTCTCAGCATTTAAATAAGGGGGAAATTAAGTTAATTACGTCATAAAAGGACGAGTTTTGAGTTACCTTAGTAACGAGACGGTGGACTCAATTGTGATGTTACTTGAAACACTGAAGGTTTCTATGGTGACCAGAACTCGCAATGGAAGGTGAATCGGCCTGCAAACAACACATGTAATACGTTAATTGAACTAAACAACATTCAAATTCACATAAGAGGATACGCTTCCAGCAGCTCGTGTGTTAATCTATACAGGACGGCTCCAACATAAAGTTTTATTTGATAATGTGATTTACAAGAGCCGATTTGATCATTTCAATAAAAGTATTTGAAGGTCTCGTTTGGTACGTTTACACGGCTAGAGCGATTTTCACTTGACTGTCGTAAAACCAAAACCAAAGTAAATACACTAGCCAACCAAAGGGTGTAGCAAAACCAAAACCAAAACCAAAACCAATTACTTTCGACAGTCAAGTGAAAACCGCTCTATAGCAGGAATACAAGGCAAAAAATGAATGCGATATCCCTTTTTTTACGGGAAGGGTTCGTCACCATTATCACATTACTCAATGTGCCGACGTTTACGCAGTTATCTCCTCAATACTTGCACAAACCTGTAATCAATAGTGCCTTCCCACACATGAGTGTGAAACACTGTCACGACCGCCGGGGGACTGAAACCAAGAACTGGATCATCTCTCACATCAAAGAAGTCTTTGAGCTGCAAAAACAAATCCACGTGTTCATTAGAACGCGACAACGACAAATTAAGCGGGGCTTTTACTAACTGTCCCGGTGAACAAAATTGTCAGTAAAACAAGCGGCCACTTGTGCCTTACTCAATGGAGCTCGTTCAATGTATGTTCATCTGTAATCAGTCTTTGACTACTGGGTCAATAAAGCTTTCATATTACATGCCAATATCATGGTAATATGTGACGGGAATACAAATCGTTTTGCGATCTTCCACGCGTAAGGATACTTTGATATGACTGTCATGAATATCATGCCATGATCATTATTAGCATGGCCGGCTAAAAGAGATACAGTCAGGAACCTCTATGTAACGAAGTCCTCGGTACAACGGTACGAAAGATTTTATTTACCACAGTAATAGTAAAATATATGAAAAAGAACTTCGATATAACGAAACCTCGTTATAGCGAACAATTTTGCTAGTTCCTTGGGACTTCTCAAACTCATTAATAATTCATAAAGAAAATTCAAAGGAAATTAATGTTGAATGAGTGTTTGGATATCAGATGAAAAACCGCTCATTTTTGCATCCTTAATTTCTCCTTCAAAAATGATTTTGTTTGAGAAGAAATATCAAACATTCGACACTGTTTCATCACCAGATGAAACACCTCGAAGTTCGTCAAAAATACTCCGCTGCGCGTCGTATTTTCAACTCTCTTCTCGGTGTTTCATCTGGTGATGAAACACTGCATCTCATGTTTGATATATTACTTCGCTATTTCGAGGTTCCACTGTATTTTACAGTTACAGGGGGTAAAGAAAATCGTTTGTTATACCGCAAGGATTTCGTTATATAGGGGTTTGTTATATCGAGGTTCCACTGTATTTTACTGTTACTGGCGGTAAAGAAAACCGTTTGTTATACCGCGAGGATTTCGTTATATAGAGGTTCGTTATATCAAGGTTCAACTGTGTTTTACCATTACTGGGGGTAAAGAAAATCGCTCGTTAAACCGCGAGGATTTCGTTATATAGAGGTTCGTTATATCCAGGTTCCACTGTATTCTACTGTTACTGGGGGTAAAGAAAATCGCTCGTTACACCGCGAGGATTTCGTTAAATAGAGGTTCATTATATCGAGGTTCCGCTGTACCCAGAATGCAAGCGCAAGCACGTTCTTGGAAAGTTAAACGTAACTCAGAAAGATAACACATACCTGTGTGAGCCACAATTGCTTGGAAGAAAGCATTCTGTACCGAAGAGTACTCCTGCGAAGTCCCAGAGAAAATAGTATTTCCTGCAAAGTTAACGGCAACACGACTTGACATACACTAACTAGTTAAGAAGAGGGTTGATTAAAGGGAATCTCTCGCAAGTTCCTTGTTTTAACGTTCCATATTGGACACCCAGAACATTTGAACGCACAACAAACGGTCAATGGTAATTACTTTGTTGTGGTGTATGTGCACATCATAGATTTTCCAGTTAGTTTACAGGCGCTTCATAAAAAAGAAACCAGTAATTCAAACAGAACAAAAAGGATTAAACGTCCAAACTGGCCGGAGGCAACCAGCTGGCTATTTAACAGCATGGCCGAATACTTGAATCCGGGTCTACCGAGAAAAAATAATCCATCGGCAGGTCGGAAAGGGACTCGAACCGGGTGCTCCAAATTGGAAAGGTACACGTATACCCCTCATTCCAATGCTATTTAATTAATAGACATTATTCACGATACCCGACATCTTCGCTCGCGCTAAAGGACTGATGGGAAAAAAAGCAATGTCACGTGGTTTCTCAGAGGGCAAACAAATTATAAAAGCTGCCAATGCAAGAAATCGCGGCCAAGTTTGTTTTAGCCCGCGAGCAAGCTCTCCTGTTTGGGCGAGCGAAGCGAGCCTCGCGAGAACGCTGCTTGCTCGCGCGTTCTCGCGAGACTCGCTTCGCTCGCCCAAATAGGAGAGCTTGCTCGCGGGCTAAGTTTGTTTATACGATAAAAACAAGACGATGATGTAAGAGTCTAGCAAAAAGTACATTTCGAGTTTCGACATGATTTACGTCATTACTGTTTCCTGTGAGAACATCTACGGTCGCTACAGTATCTAAAGAAGGAACGATGTTTACTTTTACCTCGGCTCCTGCTTTTACCCATAATTTGCAGTTATCGTCTTAATTATGATAAGTTCTTTAATTTCTGTTGTCTACAGTAAAAAAACTCGACCGTGATTTCTTGCATTGGCAGCTTTGAGCATTTGTTTCCACCTGGAGAAACCACGTGACATTGCTTTTTTCCCACCAAACCTTTAGGGCGTGCAAAGATGGCGGGAATCGTGAATAAGGTCTATTGCCAGTGTCTAAAGAAGAACCCAAGCTAAACACAATCCGCGTTAACTATTTACCTTGATATCCTTGGTAGCATCGGAAGAAACTTTAATAGCAAAGGCAAACATCGGTTCAGGGTTTTTTCCGTCCGCTTGCCTTATTCCCGGCTCATTGTGGTACAAAGTAGACAAAAGTTCTGCACCGTTAAACGCCGTCTCCATGGTAGAGTGGGCATCCTGTGGTACCACGGGTGCATGCTGAAATGAAACCTTTTGTGACTGGAGGAACAAGTAACTGAGATCGACTTGACTTTTGTAACAGGCTGCTATGAAAAATGTAACGTCGCTTAGTTCGGCCACTATTTCTCCAAGCACCTCTTCATAAGAAGAACTAGAATCCTTGGGATGAGCATTTGACCATGAAACCTGAAATCAGTAGGAAATATAAAAGCGGACATAAGTTATCAATCACGTTGAAGTACATTTTGTAGTTGTCTGGTGTTTTTGAAACTCTAGCGTGTTTCGTAAACATCTCAAGAGAGAAACACATTAAATATCCTTTGTGAAATGACGCGCATGCACCAGTGACGTGTGCTTTATAGCACTATTGTGACTCCGTTTTGCCACAACATAACGCGTCACACGTTCCATATTACATAAACAAAAGCGCTGCGCAGTTGCTGTAAAGTCCGCAGCGCCGCTTTGTTATTTACATAACAAAGGAATAACAACTTTGTAAAATTCGTCAAAGGCCCCTAACGAAAAGTCGTTAATTTTGTAAATTTTAGATCTGCGTCCAATCCTTTAATTTTCCCTTGAAGTAAAGAGTGCAAGGACGTCGACTTTGGAATTCTAAGCCCGGCGGCCAGTAAGTTTCTCTGCATGATTCCCGCTATTTGGCTCTTCTTTCTGCTGGCCAACGTACTCAGACATAAGAAACAAGACTGGTGCGAAAGTCGCACAAACTTGGTTTAAAAACTGATCATCCCATCTGCAGAAGTATTTTCGAATTCGGACATGCACTGTGTTCTAAGTCGGCGAATTCCGTTGATCTTTCTTCTTGGCTGGTTAATATAGAGACAATGGGAGAAATGAATTATGAATCGCAAACGACATAGGTTTAAATTAAAACTCATTTTACTACCTCGCTGACAGGGAAAACAGCCAGTCTGGCCTTGCTGACATTGAGAGAAAGCGTGAAGGGTGTCTGTCCATTAGGGATTGAATTGTCACGCCTGTACTTGTTTTCCAGCGATGTTATATTGCTACTGCCGTCTTCAGACGAGGATGCATCTGTTTAAAAAGAAGGACGGTAATGACAGACTGTGGAACGCATTGCTAAAAGCGCGTCGCTCACAGAGAACCCGAAGTCGGCCTATTGATTGTCTAGCGTTCCATTGACATCTTCACATTAGAGATCTTTAGATTCTAAGAAGAGGACGACTAAGAGAGCGAGATTTTCTCAATACTAAGTAGTGCGCACGCGCGTGCACCAGCGTCATTTTGGCGGGGAAACATAATACCCGTCGATTCTACGACAAGTCTTAGCGAGAATGCCATAGTGGCGGAAACACGTTACCAAATATTAGAAGTTTTATTATTTTGTGCTCGGGAGAGGGCTTGATGAACCGTGCTATTTTGTTTGGGTTTGTACGTTTTGTGCATAGCTCCTGAGCAAACTCAGTTGTGCTTCTACCCTACACTCGCAGAAAGTATGGAATCAGGCTAGAAACTTAAAAGTTACCATCATCGTAACTTCGTAAGCCAGATCTGCACATGACAAATCGGTCAGGTCCTTGCGCCTGTAGCATCTGACTTGCTAGGTCCAACCCTGTGCCAATATTGAATCCACATTGGTCAGGCCGGTCCACAGGGGAGGGAGCCATAGGTTCCCACAGCAACAAGTCACTCGCCAATCTGCACAATGAAAACAACAATAACGATCCGATTGATATTTCCTTTACAGTTCTAACCTGTTGTATGTTCTCAAACAGGTCCTCAGGTAGCCTGTGGCATCGACTTAAGTGTATAAGTTTGGGTAGCCTGTAGCATCAACTTACCTGTTGATTGTTCTCAAACACCTCCTTTGTGCGTAAGTGTAGGTAACCTGTGACATCACCTTAACTGGTGTAAATAGTATGTACGTTTGGGTAACCTGTGGCATCACCTTACCTGTTGTATATGTTCTCAAACACGTCCTTTGTGTGTAAATTGACATCCAACAGGGGAAAGGTACATTCAACATGGACCTTGGATGACGACACTGTCTCATCCTGAAATGCTTTCATTTCTTCCTGGCTTCCTGGCATCAAAAGCTAAAAGGAAAGAAAATAGTTCAAATTCGAGTCTCCTCATGATAAATTGCTTCCAGTCAGTTCTGACACCAGACAAAAGACGTTTTGACCGTATTGGCTAAGATTCAGGCAAGTCACTTTTCAAAACAAAAGGAGTAGCTGCAGACAACCACGATAATGGGATTCGGTTGAACGACGTCAGGGAAATATAGAAAGCATCAAGCTAGTGTGGATACTACGGTAACAAAGATGTTAGCCAACGCCTAGTAATACACCCTTTGGAGTTTGCGCGAAGCAATTTACCAGCACAGGAGCAAAGTATCGGAAAGTACTCACCTCTTCGGTTTCAAACATGACCGGTTTGGAAGAGAAAGGCGAAGGTTCGGCTTTCATTACAGGATAAGCATCTAGAGAACTGAGTGGAGAGTTATCTGATGATTGAACCTCTTCCAGAGCGGATAGAGGAGCGGGTGGCTGAACTGTGATTACAATTCTACAAAAATAAGTAAAGGGAACGAAAATTAAGTACGCCTAAAATTGCAAAACGTTGTTGTAAGACTACATACACAAAAATTGAAACTTATTCTGGTGAAGCTCTTTACTATTTCACGAGGGTTCATACAACACGGTAACTTCTCCAAACTCTGCAAACACCAAGAAGCTTTGCGATCCAAAAGCTGCATGTCAAAGGAAGGCTATTCAAGTCCTGGACATGCCCTTGAGATAATTTTTTCCCACCCATAGGTGTATAAGCCCTAAGGTGGACAAGCATCTTATCCAGAAGAAATAAGGAACACTCTTCGTTGCTCTACGCGAAAGGATTTTTCTTAACCCTTTCATACTCAGTATATAAAAAGACAAAGTGCAATGTACTGCTAAATTTTGCATAGCTTAAATAGCTAAAAACTAAGTTTTTACGCGCATTTGATCATATACATATGCGAATTTGCGCGTTATAAGTAATAAAATTATTAAATTATTATAATTTTTCTTGGCTTGTGATGAATGTAAGGGAAATGGCTGAGCCCCAATTGAAGGGTCTTCCTGATGATTAATATGAGTGAAGCAAAATGTTAATTAAAACTTACCTTGGCCAATCAAAACCACCATTTCCTGCAGTATCATTATCAGACTGACCATGTCCAGCGTTAATAACAGGCACGCTACTCCTGCTACTGTCCTTCTGAAAGTAACCTAAGAAAAAAATTCGATAGAAAATACCTTCAGTTGAAAAAGTGTCTATGCGTACTGCCCTATCACATAACAAAGCAAGAATCCTGCAAAAGCTTTCACCAACATCACCATCTGCTTAATAATTATCACACCTTCGCCATCATCATCATCGACAACAACAACAACAACATCACCACTATCACGTACACTGTATTGCCACAATCCTGATTTCAATTCTCATTAACATCACCGCTGCAGCGTCAAATGTGACAGATGGCTACGTCCACTATACAACTGATTGGGTACTTCAATGCTAATACCTTGTGTGACTTTTCTAGCCCTTGAAAACGCCGGAAAAACATTTTAAAGCAATATTTGTTGGAACTAAACATGAGTTATAGTACACAATAAATCAAACGTTTATTAAGTGGCAGCTTCCAAGGAGGAAGACGTGGTCGCGTAAATAAGGTTCGTCCCTTAAAAGAAGTTCCACCTTAGTTAATTATACTTCTATTTTTCAACAACTTTTTAAGATTTAAGTATAATCTTCATAATTACTAAGCCTTGTTTTAAAACACTTCTAAGTATCACCTGTTAGAAAGAACAGAAGCAAACAGAAAATGTTCACAAACCGTTTAATTCCTTGAAGCTGAAGTTATAGTGTGAAGGGAGGTCAGGGCCTGTGAAAGAAGTATTAAATTCTACAGCTGAAAACTCGAACGTTAGGCGCTCATTTCTCAAGGACTGTTTCCACCAGGGACGCCGATCAACAGCAGGTCGTAAATCAGGAATAGGAAATCTGGGAAAAAAAAAAAAAAGATAAAAATTACTTGGTAAACTTTTACAACAGCGACGAGACATGTGACATGTAAATAATAAGGGCTGGCGTTACTGTTCAGGTCCCGGCTGTTCAAAGCAGGGTTTATTCTAGAAATTGGCCAATGCGGGTCAAATGGGCCCCCTTCTGTAATTATGGGGGGCCCTTTTCAAAGAAAGAGAGTCCCCCAAAAGGTATTCTACATGGGTCGAACTCGCCGGACGCTTTGCCGCCATTTTGGAACATTCTGGGCAACTGAAAAAGCCTGGGCTCGAACTACTTGAAAGGGTGGATAGCGCTATCCACGGGATAAATTACTATCCAGGAAGTAAGTATCGGGAAACCTAATTACGCTATCCACAGCAGAGAGATTTATTCAGTGGATAGCATTATCCACCTTTCGAACAACTCAGCCCAGTGAATGAGCCTGAATAGTGCAATTGAATTTCGAAAGGCTTAACCAGTGGACAGCGATTTATCCGGTGAATAGCGCTATCCTACTTATGAACAACCAGTGCCTGGATAATAATTTATCCGGCGGATAGCGCAATCCCATTTTTGAGCGACCGGGGCCAGTTTAACATCTCTTTTAACACTCTCTGATACGATGGGTCAGTCGCAATCGAGAAACCGAAAAAAAAAAATGGTGAAATAAATGTAGCTAATTCGTTATGGGCTACCGGACTCTTTGGGAGGAACTGACACAACTGTTTAGTACAGGGGTTTAATGGAGAAGGAGGTCTCCGTAAAGCAGGATTCTTCAACCAGATTAGAGACCCACCTCAAAACAATAGTAAGTGAAGGACAGGATAAGTGAAGGTTAAAGGGTTGCTCCACTGTGGGAGTATCTTCCATAGCTTGAGTAAACACTGCTTGTTGGTTCTGTAAGGTAGAGAAAGCTATGACACAATCATCCATTCAATGGTAAAGTCGTTTATCTATTCCAATCAAGCTAGCACATCAAATGTGTTCTTATTTATATCGAGTCTAATTCACAAAGGTTTCTCTGCATTACTGCTTTATCACTAAACATTATTTTGTAGATAATACATTTATTGCATCTTATATCAAGTAAGCGACCCATAAAGTAACGGATCAGAACTCTCCACCCCTGCGCCTTTTATTCTTAGGTCATGAATGGCAATAAAAATAAATAAGCTTACCACTATTGATGGATTACAGGAACGGAACATCCGGGATTGGATGTTTGAGCCATGGTTCATAAACAAAGGCTGCGGATCCAACAGAGCTGTCAATCTATCCACAATTGAGATATCTAACTCACAAAGCAAACTACCTAGTTCCAGTGATAACTCAGACTTGGGCAACACAACATTACGACCTTGAACAATACCCTGCAAAATAGAGGGTGACAGAAAACGGTTCACTTGCACTGCATAAGAGAAAAATTACTGATAAGTGAACTTGAAATGGCGGACCCACCTAGAGTAAAGAAGAAGAGGGGGTGAATAGGTTTACAAATTGATTGAATTTGGCTTAAATGCCTGATTGCAAAATAAAAAGAACCTACATGTACACGGATCTAACATTTAGCAGTTATGTGGACTTTCAAGGTTTAAAGGACCACGAATTCTTTAACGTTTTAACAGGGATGATTATTTATGGATGAGATTTCCTCAACACTAAGTAATGGGCGCCAGTGAACCACAGGTTTTAGCGAAAATGTCGAAATGTCAAAATATTAGAAGTTTTATGATCATTTTTCGATCGGGAGAAGGCTTAATCTCCCTCAATAAAAGTAATTCGTTCTGGTGATAAAAAGTAAAATAAAACTTTCTGGGGTATTTCTTTTTTGAGAATACGCAAAGAAAAAACTTTGACGTCAAATCTCTTCCTCCTAACGGTACGGTAGCCGCCCTCCTCCCCGGGATCTTAAGGTCTCTGTTATACAACGAAGGCGACTAAAATTACAAAAGTTCAACTATTAATACAGTTTATCATAAAATGTACATTAGAATGATATAATTTACCGGAGAAGTTGTTCTCTGAGTGCTTGTGTACTTGAGTCTGAGACAGGGTCGGGGAGAAGTTGAAGTATAGCCATAAAGAGGTGCTGCTTGGCTTTCACTGGGTAAGAATTTTAGCAACTGAAAAAAAAAATAAGAGAGAGAAAACACCTTGGTGAGCTGGGTATTAAGGGGATAGTTTTTCATAACAGTTTTTAAAGAAACTGTTAATCCTATCGAGTTTTGAGCAAACAGGTACAATAGAAGTCCGTAATTCGGAAAGCCGACAGGACGCCGAAGTTGCACCGAGGGATGTGGCTGGTTTCTGTTATAAAGAAAAAAAACTACCGCAGCACAAGAGGCTTGAGATAGATCCTACCCCCGTACATCCCCTTGCACCACTGTTTTCCGTTCTTTTCTTCATGGCAAGGATTAAATTTTACTTTTTATTATAAACGCTACCTAATAGAAGGACTCAAGGAGTCGGGGTTGTTTTCTTACCTGTGTAGTTGAATAAGGTGTTTGTGAAGGTGCTGATGCCGATGATCTCTCAAATAAACACTCACTCAGCTCCAGTTTACCGGCTGACAGTTCACATTTACCTGTTTGATTCGAACTGCTCACTGTTCTTTCAAATTCAAATGAGACAGGGGCAGCCATGCACCTTTAAAAACAAAAAAATCATTTGAGTTTAACAAACACTTTTTGCGGTGCATTGTTGTTTGATTAAAATAGCAAATTATATTTCCATTTAGGTGGAAAATGCAATAATGTTATCTAGCCTGTGTTCAGCCGCCCCCTTCCCTCAAACGAGGAGATTCGAGAAAATGAACTGATGTCTTTGTCTTGTTATTCAAAAGTGATTTTGCAAATCGGCGAGACTACATTTGCATCTCCACAAAAACTTGGAAGGCTTATGGTGACGCTGCCATTTAGAAAGGCACTTACAGTTTGGCATGATAATGCGCATGTTCGGAAATGATAAACAATGATTAACCGATAAGTAATGGTAACAGGACTGAGTGGAGACCAATTCGGTCTGTAATCATACGAGTGATTAACAAAATCGGACGACCGCGTAGCGGGAGTCCAATTTGTTTAATCACGAGTATGATTACAGACCGAATTGGACGACACGAAGTTCTGTTACCAATTAATCATAACTTTAACAAAAATTGTGATATAATAGGCTATTTTTTACGTCAAAACACAAGAAATTCGAAATTTTGTTTTGCGAGCAGTGACAAAAAAAGCCATTTAAGAGCGCGCTTGATGGCGCGTACTGTCCAATTACTTAGGCATGACGCGTACTGTCCTATTAAACTGTCCAATTAAGACTGAAATCAGGGCAGTTGATAGCCAATCAGATTTGACAATTTTGTTATAGTTATGATTAAAATCGAAACACTCGATACCACGCGCCGTTCGAGGGAATTTGCAGTTGTCGAGTGCGACTTTATAACGAACTTTTCTAAAAGCTGCGCCCATTGAATATATTGACTCAGAGCCCATTCAGGCTCGAGGAATAATTATTAAATATAGTACAACTCCAAGGAGTGGAAGCTTTAAAAGACATTTTTGCTTCGTTTACAAGATCATCAGGTACCTCAAATGATCTTTTGTACAAGCAACAGCAAACTTTTCTGCCATGTCCTCAAAGTCTTTTCCTCCAAATCCATAGGTACCAAGGTTGGAGAAGAACTTGTCTGCCATGTGAGCAAGTGGATGGGTGACATCAGCATCATCATGGAGTGACCCTGTAAGCTCTGATGATGGTGGCGATACTGGGTCAATATGGAGAACTGTGATGGCCAAACTAGAAAGCTTGATACTCAATTTAATCACATCAGGGCAGGGATCATCTAGTGCGGCTATGCCAGCTAAACCAGGGTTAGCTAATGATACACCGCGTCTTGCTTGAACACCATCTAAAATAGAGCACTTGTTCGAGTCAAAGTATTCCACTACGATTTTTTCTACCAGTTGAGGACAGTACTTTTCTCTCCCCCCGCCCCCTCCACCTGGAAACGCGACCACAAACTCCAAATTCCGTTTGCAGGGCATATGCACCTCTCCACTCACACAACAATTACTACTGAACTTACTAACTTACGCTACAGGACGGCGGAGAAAAGAAGACGGCAAACCTTGCGTTACAAGCGAGACAATAATTTTATTTCAAAAAATAACTTCCTCCAAACTTCACTTTCCTTTGAACACATACATGTAGTTTTGTAAAAGAGCAGAACACAGTATTGCTAAGTGAAGCTCGCGACAAAATTCGCAAGTAATATCCTTTGCCACATAAACGTTTTGCCGTCCTCTTCTTTCTGCCTCCCTGTTGCATGAGCTCACTAATTTTACAAGGAAACTGAGCGCTGTGGTCAAGCCGCGACGGGAAAGGAGTGGACTTTTCACCTCTCCCTAGCTATTCAGCTTATTCCAAAATGGCATTTTTTTGTTCTTTCATCTTTACGATAATTGGCCCACGATGCTTGGTTCCTTTTTCTTTTGAATTTCTGCAGGTGTAATCAAGGCAAAGGAGGTCCTATAAACTAACATGAATATAAAAGAAAAGTAGTATTGCCGTCACTTTGTCACGAAGTGTATGATGGCTCGCTGGGCAAACTAAACAGATCAACAGTCAAACCTAAATTCTAAACGGCAATATACATATTCAATCATATCACATCCCATATGACAAAAATTCGACTTGTCCTTAACCAGTTTTACTTAGGGCTGTAAGAGTTGGAGGCCCCAAAGCGAAAGAGTCTTTGCAAAGAATGATTTAAAATGATTTGTATACGACTCCATAACGCGCACACAATGACAACACTCTCTTCATTCACCTACTAATCGTAGAAGTGTTTATCTTTTGATTATGTTAAATAAGTTATGGCAAACGGCCGTGTGTCTCAAGCTTGCCCAAGCAGAGTAACCTTGAAATAGAGCTGCTAACCTGTTCTCCATTCATGGACAGCTGATGCAGACGACTTTGCTTTGACAAACACTGCATTAGCAGCTTCTGCCAGGGGACTACCTAAACCAAAACAAATTGAAATGAAGACACTCAAGTCATCAAAGTGAGAAAATTAATTGTGGTTAGGGGATTTCTCGCACCCAAAAGTGCATGAGCAGAAAGCTCTTATCACCTTCCTTGAAGGCCTGTCAATTACATGGGGTACATGTACCTACAGAACTACACATATTTCCTACAATACCTGTATTCAATATACCGGCCAAATGGTCGCCGTCACTCTGCCTTATATTAGGTTCAAAAATAATAATTGTTCTCAAACTCTGGCAAAATGAGTGACTCAAGTGACCCTCAGCACTTGAATGTCGTCTAACATTTTTAAAACACACTACAGTACATATATTTTTCAGGGCTAAACTTTCCAGGTATTTTTTACCAGAAAGAAAAAAAACGCGTAGTTTCTGAATTGGTAACAGACTTTTGGATAGTCTTAATGTCTTATTGATGACCAGAAAACAACCGACATACTTTTAACTGGCTACAACATTTTCAGTGAGAGTTCAGGGCAAAAAAATAGGGTAAACATCTCACCATCCATGTAAAAGTAGTATCATGATCATAATAATCCCAGGGCTTACCTTGGGGCTGAATTTTTGGACTCACAAATCTCTTATCACATGGTATAGTGTTCGTGAAATTATAAGGCGATGACTGTAGACTTCCTAAAGGAGAGAATTCTGGTGACTGGAGCAGATTTCCCGATAGCGACCGATTTATTACCAGCATGTCGGCTGGCAAGACAGGTTCCTCTAAAGGAGGGAGCACATCGTGAACTGATGACATTGAAAAGAAAGTTTCCTCCTCCCCCTCCTCTAAGATGCTGTCATATTCAGCACCTGAGGGGGAATGGGACAGTATGTCATTTGACAAACAAGAGTCAAAGTTAAAATTCCATGAGTCCACCCTCTGCTGTCCCTGTTGATGTCTTTGTTCTTGCTGTTTTTTAGACATAAGCTGGTTCTGTAAGTCTTGTTCTATTTTTTGGTAGTCTTCCGGTTGCATGGGTTTATTGACTGAGTGCCCTTTTACAGTGGTAGGACCAGCCACATCTAGAAGAAAAAGGAAATAGATTTTTGAGATTCCTTTCTACCAATCAAAGCAATTAAAATAATTACAGGTTTCTGGTCAACACCTGTTTCCATGGTAGTCAGTCATGGAAGTTCATTTGAAAGTTAAAAAATCCATGCTGTAAGAAAATCTTGGACCGAAGTTTTGGCAATGCCGCCTTCTTCAGGGTACAAAACTAATGACCATTAAAAATTTTGTTAAATTAGCTCATGTCATCGATTTGTAGCCCAAAGAAGGCAGCATTGCTGAAACGTCAGTTTAAGATCTTCTTACAGAATAGATTTTATAACTTTCAACTTAACATAAAGTAACTACGCTGTGCAGAGATTTTTAATCTTTATTATTCAGGGAAAGGAAGTTGTTGATTGTTAATTCTTGCAGAACGTATGACATCAATGAATGAACAAATTATTCCTGCAAAAGAATCACATACATAAGACTAAATAAATAAATAAATAAATACGTAAGACTCTATGTGTTGAAGGATCACCAAATGTGAATTGAGCAAAAAAAAGGCACAATATTGTAATAACGAAGTATTGAAAATGTGCAAACTATGGATCAGTGTGGTCAACAGTTATAGAATACAGTTAAATAAAATACAACCAGAGAATGAAGTGAGTGTCAACCAAGCAGCTTTTTTCTAATTCTGCCTTAACTATAGGTGGTCCTTTATCTTCTTTACAGATAGTAAAGTGAGCAAAAAGAAAAAGACCTCATGTCACATTGCCTCAAAACAAACCTGGAGATGAAAAACCACTTGCTAATTCTGTGAGCAAGTGAACTTGTCTAGGAGACAGGAATACATTCAGTGTTCCAATAAAGCATTCAAAATCCATCTGAAAAATAAGCCATTTCAAATAAAATCTATTTACTTATAGTAAAAGCAAAAAGATTGATAAGTTACAAATTTATTACATTGCACAGAATTATATCTTGTGGCAGACCAGCTGTTATACATAAAGGTTAGCACAAGGCTCATTTCAGGCCGGGGCTACTAAATGCACATATATTCCATAAAATTAACAAGATAAGTCATGGAATCCAGCTGAATTTATTTTTGATAAGAAATTATTTTTATCAAGTTTTCTTTTGTCTCTGAACCAATACATGTACCAATGACTGCTGTGAAAGGAAAAAAATTTAACTTGGTTTAAAAATATTAATTAAGACAAAAAAGTTAGTGCTGGGGATAAAGTTTTGGAAATATACCAGCCACAAACATGACCTACTGTAGCGACTACTCCACTCAACTGTACAGTCATGGTTGTACACAAAGACAAGATTTCTTGATAACTATTTTCATTTGTTAGGACAAGACGTCCTTTTCACAAAAACCATCTAGTGCAAAGTACCCACGGGTCAAGGTTATTGATTTCGTTTACAAACTGTTTGCATTTCTCTGAAAAACATGACTCCACAAACAGTCAAGTTTAGTTTATGAAAGCATTCATTTTCTGCATCAAACTAGGTTTTAATGCAATTTTAACATACATTGTAATTTAGCAGTTTTTTCAAACTCACCCTGGGTCCTGGTACAGCAGAATTCTGCTTGAGTTTCAATTTGATTTCTGAGTGACCAGCAAATGTGGCAACCTTGATTGGCGGTGAAAGCACCCCTGAGAGAGGAGGGCTGCGGAATTGCTCAGCTGACATGGACACTCCCTCAAGAGAACTGTGGGGGTAGTGGAGAGGTGGAGATGAAGATCCACTACCAGGGGAGGGTGGTGGTGAATAAGAATAATCTGGAACTTGTCGAATGGTTCTAGACTCCTCTGGGAATTCATCTAAGTGAACAGAAACTCCAAAGATCTTGAGATTCTTGCAAGCACAAGCTGCAGGCTCATAGACACTTTTGGCTTTATAGTGACTATCCCTCTCCGCAAGCTCTGTTGATAAGTCCGAGTAGTCAATTCTGCAGTTAAAGGACAGGTTAAATTTTAATGGAGAATTATAATAGCTTTCATTTGATAACTCTGCAAGCTTTACAATGGATATGCTGTACAACTGTTAGCAGGTCACACAAAGGTACATGCAGTTTATGACTTTTAGCATCCGACTTGTAGGTTGCTTGTATTTTTATTATTTCTTTATTATCGATTTTTATGGCAACTGTAGGCTACTACTGAGGCTCCAACAGAGACTTAACTTACCTTTTAATGTGTATTTCTAATCCTATTCCTGTTTTTGTGTCTCTGGGTAAATGCTCAAATCTAATCACAGTGTCTGTAAAGGAAAGCTTCACTCTTGCCAACACTGCAAATAATTATTATTAAGAGACACATTTGTATGTGTACTTTAACATATGATAATAAAAGAAAACTGCTCTTTAATAATGTAAACTTCACTTTATAACAGCCAACCCTCTCTTATAAAAAGGTTACTTAGTCCTGCCAAATTCCCCAGTAATTTTATTTTTATAGGGACAGTGTAGTACTAGTGGTGTGCAGCTACTTATTTGCAATCAATAACAGATCAAAACCTTAGGCAAGGTGATAATCAATCATGGAAAATTTTCAATCCACTGTAAGTTGTAGAAAAACAAAAAAAATTATTGTTCACAAAAAAGATTACCAACAATCGGGTGTTGTGTTTTTAATGGACTCCTTATTCTCTATATTGGTCTGTGAGGGTTTTGTTTCATTTACATTTGATTAGGCATATTAAGGAAAAACTTACCTTCAAATTAAATTACTTTTACTTGCACAAAATCACATATAAATGGATTTATTATTATTATAAGCAGTGATCAAGGGTGATTATTGTATTTCTGATAATCAATAATATTATTATTATGAAATCTCAGCTGATTTCCAACACTAGTCAATACAGCTACTAAAATAAAATAGAAAGAAATTACCTACACTACCAACAGTGAAAAACCACAAGGCATAATTTTCAGATTAAAGAACAAAAATTCCAGGAAGTGGGGCTCAAAGTCTGGTTGTCCTGGAACAGTAGCTGCCGGGTGTACTGTTACAGCTCACTTGCCTGATGGGCAAGGGAGACCAGGCAAGTTATCTTCCAACTAAATCATTGGCTAAGTCAAGCAAGTAGTTGTCCCAGGCAAACAAAAAATGCGAGAGCTGCATGCCCAAAGGACATGCTGGAATTCGAGTTTTTTTTTCCGAGCTGGGAAGAGGATATGATCAATGGGAAGGTAGCAATTTCACAATAATAATTGTACTTGAAATACGTGTACACTAATAATAATGTACATACCAGATTCTATGGTTTGAGCAAAGGACTCTAGACCCTCAAATGGTGGACTAGCTTCTGCTTGTTCTTCCCCTGTAGATGGACCTTCCTTCAAACATTCTTGTGCCAGCTGCATGCTTGTGGTCATAGCATTCCATATCATAGAATCAGTCATACTTCCTCCTATGCAAAACAGTATCAATGGTAATCAAACAACTTAGGATGCACCATTGAGTTACATAACATATTATTATGCAAGCAAGAAATCCTTTTTTTAAGCACAAAAATGGGACAAGCTCAGCTTGAACACCCAATTTAGACATACAAAACCTTCTAAGTGCATTTACAACTAGTGCAAAGCCTTTTGACTGTATTTACCACATAAAAAGTGATAAACAACCCAGAGAAAAAGAAGCATCAGGCACCACTTGTTCAAAAGGTGGATAGCACTTTAATGTACTGGAGAAATCACTATCCAGTGGATAATGCAATTGGATCTCGTAATACGTATCCACTGAAAAGCAATTTATCTGGGCCCAGTTGTTCGAAGGCTGATTAGCACTAACGCAGGGTTAAATTTTAACCCAGGTGTCTTTTTCTCTTTATCAATAGCACTTTCTCAGATAATTCCTCTGTTCCTTTTGGAGTGTTCTATCATCAAATTGTAGACGAAAAGAATTAAACTGAATTTTCTTTTTAAGCTCTCATATCTGAATTCAAATTTCGCACTAACCCTGGGTTATCTTAACCCAGCTTTAAATGGTTGACTCAGCCCTGTTGGACAGTGCTATCCAACTTTTGAACAAACAGGACCAGATTTCCAAGTAAAAGACTGACAAATGTTGTGTAAATGAAGGTTGATTAGAAAATAATAGCCAACAAACAAAATTACAGGTATCTACTGTATAGCTATGGTGAACTTAATTCAAACCTGTTTCAATCCTTTGCTTTGGTGCAATGGTAATGTCAAGACCCTGAATGTCCATACAGCAGCTTTCACTGAGAAGAGCTGTCCATGGGACTGAAACTGAGATACTACCAATGAATCCATCAATGATCTCCAGTGGAATACCAGCATTGTCTAACATCTCATTTACAGACTGAAAAAATGTGAAACAGGTGTAAGTAAAAATAAATTAACATTTCAAAGTCTGCTACTATGGAAGTGTACTTAAAGGGCCTTCTCTGGTGACTTTAGCTTACAAGAACTCAAGTCAAATAATCACTAATTTGTTTGACTGAAGTGCCTGTTATCTAAATCGGCAGCAAACCAGTTTGCTAAACACAAGCATAGCCTTTGCAATTCTGAGGCACAGCTACTAATGCATTTGTTACAATAACTGAAAAATTTCTCATGAGTTGATTGGTTGAAAGCTCTCATTGATGAGAGAAAAGACCATGGAAATTAAAGGATGGCCGCGCAATTTGTTTTTCTTAGTCTTTTGCACAATTTTCCAAAAAAAACTTCAACAAAAAGGGAAGTTGAAAACTGTCAATGTTATTATTGCAACATTAAATAGACATAATTATATTTTCCATTTGGTCTAATATACCTCTTATAGATAATAGAAATGGCATCAAAATGTTCAAAATTTTGCAGTGTCGGTTGAGGTTCCACATACAATTCGAACATAAATGTTTTGACACCATATCTAAGGTTTCTAAGAATATAGACCATGGAAACTTGTTGTTGACTTCTTAACTCATTCACTCTTGGAGATTTTGCCGAAAAAAGTGGTTTGAAGCTAGTCGAGTGGTTTTCTGGTCACTGTCGTGCTATAAAGAGCTAAAACTTACCACAAACCGGTTTACAGGTCGTACACTTCGCGGCCTTCTGATCCAGATGCAAAATATCAGCTTGCGAAGTTCGTGCATGCGCAGAAAGCAAAATTTCGAGATAGTTTTTGGGTTTAAAAGTGACACAGCAGTCTTGACTTTTACTTGTAGCTTTCTCTCCTCCCCTCTGTTTTCGCTTTTCTTGCCTCATTTTTTTTTTCTCTCGCTGGGCATTTAGTAGGCTTTGTTTTGGTGGGAAGAGTTTTCAGGAAAGCTTTTAGGATCTTAGGATTAGGTGAAAAGATGATGAGCAATGGAACAAGATTTTCATGGAGATTTTCAGGTCAATGTCACATGGTTTTTTCCTTCTTTCTCCGGTGTCCTTGACTGAATTGTGCTCATTCTGGTATGGTTTGAAAGATCTCTTCACTCTGCACAAGTTAGTGGACAAAGTTGTCCTTGACAGTTAAAACTGATGAATTCACAAAGGGTAGAAAGGGCGTGGATCCGCACAGGCGGTTACAGGCGGTTCAGGGGCGAATGGGTTAAATAAACTAAAATTTACAAGCCCCCTAAATGTATTTCTGATGCTCTTTCTGAGTGTATGCTTAAAATGTAAAACTGAATATCTCATCGTGCATATTGTACTGAAAGCTTAATATGATATAAATATTTTAAACCTTATACCAACTGTCGCTGTATACACGCAAAGAACAATTTTTGGCACTGCATATCCCATATAACGAGGCAATGTTTACAAAAAATTTTTTAAAAAAATAAGTTCACCCTGCACAAGCCATAGCATAATACAAGATAAAACTGACGTAAGAAATCTATCTAAAAACTAAAATGCCACAAGAAAAAAAAACAATGTAAGCTGAACTCTTACATGATTGTATTTATAAACGATCTCGGATTGGACAAAATAAATTGAAATTACCTGTAAGCTTAAGTGATGTATGAAGGTCAATTTAGGTGAATTTGTTTTATGCTGTTTATGAAATCTTATTACATAAACGTGTAAAGACACCAGATTTTGTTCCATTTTATCTATAAACTGACTTCACCTACCCAAACGTCAAGAGGAACTTTATCCACTCTTCCGGTTCCATTGTAAAGATCCACAGTCAGCTGGTCTAACGTTAGCTTTTCCTGCAGAAAATGGCCGAGATAATGCTGTAATAAATACCTACAGGCCCTTTTCTTTATGAAGTCCGACCAAGGGAAGAACCAAGGCATCACTACTATCAATTCCGTGTTTCCCTATGAATTACAATACTACTTATTGGCGTAAAATTCGCAACGGCACATGCTATTCGCAAGTCCGCCATTTTGTTCTCATGAGCTTGTTGTTGTTTTGGAGAATGACGTCAGATTGTCCCAGCAGACCTTTCGCGCGATGTAAAACTGCTGATTTTGCATTTTGGGAAGAACAGAAAGTTCGAGAAACGTCTCGTTTTTTCACGAAAAATCCAAAAGAAGTATATTTTTGTCCAGTCAGGTTTTGTCAGGATGAATCAGCTACCAGTCATACTTACGAAGCTCTGACAAATTATTTAATTTTAGCAACGATCGATGGTTCGAGAAGAAATCTTTTTTATTATAAAAGGCATAGATTTTGGCTCACCAACCATCAGTTCAAAAAAACCCGGAAGACTCAAGATATCGCTGAAGATTTTCAAGAAGTAATATTACAACTAAAGTTCTCGACAGTATGGCCCTCGTTTTCAGATTTCCAACCTATCATCCAACTTGGTAAGCTTTTCGAAATTAGTTTTCTTCTCTATTAAGGGTCAGTTACGACTTTGAAGAATTATTTTCTGTGTAAAATCTCAACTTTTTTTAAAACAAAATACTCTTTCGCCTGCATGCTTCGTTTGATTCTTACTGATGGTGTGCTACAAGTTTTTTGGCTTTTAAAATTGGATGTCGTCCCCATGATCAGGCGGGAATATCATGGTTCGTAATCCAGTTCTGTTACTTTCATTTTCCCTTTTGAGATATTCAGTCTTATATGCGTACATAATTGATCAATGGATATTAAGCAATAGGACAGCCATAGAGTATCAAAGCCTTTTCTTATGACTTTCAGGCGGTTCGAAAACATTTGCAGATATACACTCAGGCAGACATTAAAGGCTTTTTACTTGTGACTTTTTTTCTGTGGATTGGAGTTTCAGTATTCAAATTATATTATATAACTGATGAAAAGTGATTTGTTCATAGTTAAGTTTGAATTAACACATGTGTATTTCTATACGGAACATTCACTGAAAATATACACTGCTTGTACTGAGTAAATCAGCTGCAAATTTCAAGTCATCGATCTGTTCAGTCTCAGAAATCACCCAAAATAACCATTTTCTTTTGTTTCATTTTCAGCTACAGCAGTTACTATAATCAAGCCGTCCCAGGTTACGGGCTTTTGCGTGATTTATGGAGAGACATAGCTCTCTCCTTTGAGGAACAAGGGCGAGACATATGCTGTCAGCAAAGGAAACACTCCGGCCCAGTCACAATCGCTTCACTGCCACTCAACAAGTACAAACCAGAAGAAATTTCTCTTGATGTTGATGGAGAAAATATAACCTTACACGGCCAGCATCGATCCGAAGGAGAAGATGGATTTGAGAATAGTGAGTTCAAGAAAATCATAAAGCTCCCGGAAGACGTAGATCCCACAACGGTGACGTCACGTGTATCTAAAGATGACAGCTTCCTTGTCCTCGAAGGCGTCAAACGTGTTGAAGAGAAAACAAAAACAGACGACGACAAGTTCGTGGTAAGATTAAATCTGCGTGGATTCAAACCAGAAGAAATCAAGGTCCATCTTCGTGGACATGAGCTCACAGTCACAGGAAAACACAGAGCGGAAGAAGACGGTTCATATTTGTCACGTGTTTACAGCCGCCGCGTTTTGTTGCCTGACGACGCAGAACTCAGTTCAGTGACGTCACGTTTGTCCAAAGAAGGCTTGCTAACCATAGAAGTGGCACGTGACCCAGCTCTGTTACCAAGTGAGAGAAACGTGGAACTTTCCATGGAAGTTGATCATAAGCCAGATCCTGAAGAAGAAGAGCAACAACAACAAGGAGCAAGCGGTAACGGAAAAGATTAGAATAAAAGCTTAATCAACTGCGTTTACAGATTGTAAGGAATCTCTCGTATAGAACGTTTTGCCATGTTTTGTTACATTAATTTCTGATTAAAATTTTCTTGAGAAGCTAAGCAACATTTCAGCATAGCATTCAATGCTTGTTAAGTTATTGACACTTAGAGTACAATTTGATCATAAAATAGTAATTTAGAATTTGGTAAATCATTTTCTTGCTTCAGTTTTTGAATTGATTTATAATGTAAGCAGACAAACAGGTACCAAAGCACTAGTATTAGTACTTTACACTGACTCATTTTGTAGTCAATCTTTTTCCATTGAATTATAGTATCATTAGCTTTTCACACCAGGCTAGGGTTGTCTAACTATGTATTAAAGCTATTAAAAGATTAAAGCTTTTTTAGCTTGCAACTATCGACAATTTCTTTTGAGATCATGTTATGAAATAGTTAAGTCAGCAGTGAAAGGTCGATAAAAGTTGGAAAATGAGGGGACTGACTTCTTTGTTTTCACTTTTACCGTTCATTCTGACCCTTTTCATCACTTTTCCTGTTGGGAGACGACATCTTACATTTAATAGTTCCAGATTATTGCTTATTCTTTTTAAAAAATCAAAATATTAACGTGATTCAGAAATGAGAAGCTAATTGTGAAAGTGGGTGTCACTGCAAATTTAAGTCCAGGCCAGCCAAAAATAAACGGAAGAAGCCAATTAAGATCGCATTCGCTTCTTAACACGTTTGACTAAAAAAATCGTGTCTCAGATTTTTGTCAAGTGCGTTTGTTCTTTTGTTATAAGCAGTTGAAGTTAGGGATAGCAAATCATTAGCGCTACCTGTGAAAAAATACTCTAACTCAAAAACGAAAAAAGAAATCAAAATTCGCAGACACAGTTTTTTAGATACACTATCTGACAGTAAGTTGGCCAAATTTCAGCCAAATTGGTTCAAGGGTTGCTGACTTGGAGTTTAAAACGTACCCTTAACTTGCCCTGATTTTCATTTGGGGAAAACAGGGGGAAAAGATTTTTGGCGGCGTATTACCTGTGACGAGATTATAACAGATCAGATTATAACACCGAAGCTGTCAATGTTGATGCATACCAGAGAAATGACAACAACAGTGACACAGCAGGAAAAGGTCACCAACGAAACCAGACAACAGATGAATAATTTATTTCAAAGTCTCTGGTTCGATCCTTTCTGTTGTCGAGAAAGGATCATTAGTTATTGGCGACGGGCAGTTTTCATTCTCGCAATGGACAAGCCAAGTTGAGCCAAGCCCAGTTTTATTCGATACATTTTCTAAAAGTTCGACACTTCCCTGGCAAAATCGACAACATACCGCTTCCTGGAGTTTTTCTTGAAGTTTCTGTCCCCGGGGTTTCTGTCTCACTACGATACACTTTCAAAAAAAGTCCTTTGTCCGATTTTTATATGGACCTCGAGCTCTCGCGACTTCGTCGCTCGCTTGGCGGCTTCGCGGCCTAAAAAGCCCGCTGAAACGCGATTCCGCGGAAGTTTCAATAGGTTCGTCACAAGCTTTGTCATCTTTTAGCCATTTTTCTTGATTGCAGTAGTAGCCCTTGTCGCTCTCTGCCAATTTCAAAGAAGTTACTCTTTGCAAAACGAGTTTGTCGTCTTCTTTCGTCTTGGAGTCGAGGACGAAAACGGACATGCTCTTCCTTTTTTTTTTGGAGGCATTCACTTCCAAAATCCAGGAAAAAATAGTGAGCACAATACCGATTAGCCTGCGTGGCAGGCGTTTGAAAGGGAAGGGAAAGGGAGTTTTAGGTGCGAGAGAAGTGTGAGGGGCGCGTTTCTCTCGCACCTAAAACGCCCTTTCCCTTCCCTTTCAAACGCCTGCCACGCAGGCTAAATACCGATAGGCCACGATTTCTGTCAAATTGCGTGATTAGCTTGGTTCAACAGAGGTATGCGTGTCAAGTATGACAGGACTTGTCAACGAACGACTAGGCCTTTCCCGATTGCGCTGAGCACCTTTTGAGCACTTTTTTGAGTTTGGAGCACTATTTTGCATTTTGAGCACCTTTAAGCACTTTTTCGCACCTTGGGCAACATTTGAGCAATATTTCACATTTCGAGCAAATTTCGAGTAACATATGTCTTCTAAAACATTTTAAAGCAAAAACTGTGTGTCGCTCGCAACGAGAATCGTGTTCCAGGTCATAAATTTCAATAACTAATGATGTTGTCAAGAATAAAAGACCGTTGTCATGGAAAGGCACGTAGACTTATCCTTACTGAGCGTGCATGAGAACAGAAGTTTCTGATTGGCTGATGTATCATCCGTGTGTCATCTCAAATTTCTTTGCACTAGTACTGCTGAATTTATTTACAATTCGTAACCGGCTTTAGTTTTTTAAAAATATTATTGTTCTATATTCTATCAACCTTTCGTAACAACCTGTCAAATAACACTACGCAAAATAGATTGTTAATTACTTCAGTAAAAATTGACATATTAACGAAAAGCTTAGAGATAACTGTTCACAACTTTTAGCACTTTTTGAGCACTATTTTGAGATTTTGAGCACTTTTTAGCCATTTTTGCCAGCACTTTTTTAGGATTTTACGAGCGCAATCGGGAAAGGCCTATCAAGGACCAATCAAATAATTAGCATAGAAAAAACTTTTGCGCTCCATATGTCTGCACAGAAAATACATTTTTCCAAGAACTTTTTTAAAAGAAAGCTCTTGATGAGCTCTATGTAATCATCAAAAAATTGCAAATTTCGAAAAATGATTATTTTTTACCCTAGATGATACCTTGCGAGTATCCCGCCACGTTTTAAACAAAGGGCTTCTGACAAAGCCGGCATTCTAATCTGCCACAAATATGTGAAGCATGCGTCTTTCAAAGTCGCATGGTACTTGAGATCGGGGCTCTGGCCTGTTATGATGATGCAAAGAGCCTATTGAAATAGAGCAAATTCATGTTATAGTCATTGCTTTTGCATAATTTGAGTACAAACAAAACCCTCAGAGGCTCTCCTATACCCAAATTTTGGTTGAAAAGGTCTCTCCCCCCCCCCCTAAAGTGATTGATTAAAAAACTAACGAAGAGGCTCCTCGCTGAAGTCGCGAAATTTTGCGGACGTTTGTAAACAGCTAAATCAAAAAGGTTGCTTTGGCAATGAGTCATTGCTATTCTGGGCATTTGGCATTTGGGCATACCGAAATCACCGCACTTAATTCTTTGCTACAGTGAC